TTCTTTATTGGATGACGTGTCATCCAAACATATGGGTATGATGTACTTCGTACGGCGATATCGGTTATTAAGCCATTACCGATATGGTACGGTATTTCGTACCGTATCGCGACACCCATATTTAATACCTCCTTAAAAGAAATATAATTATATAATGTATATAAGTGACGTAACGTTGTATCAACCGTCGTTACACCAACAGTCAGGCACGACAAAGTTACGCCTCTCTATGAAAGATTAAAGAAAAAGTTACAGGTAGTAGTTTGATACAGCGATGTGGATTTCACTGCAGACAAGGGATACAAAAAGTACTTACGGGTGGTCTAAGTACTGTCGATGACATGCCGGTGAGCTGGATGTGTTAAAAACAAGGTGTAGTTCTGCTTTCGACTATGAAATCTAAATTTACGGCTGCATCGATTATGGCTCGAGAACTTTTGGGCTCTCGTAAACTACTTCAAGAATTACATTTGAAGATCGAAGAGCCGATGCCACTGCAAGCGGATTATCAAGCGGCTTTGGAGCTGCCTGACGGCAAGAGGGTCTCGGCTTAGGCCAAACATACTGATGTGCGCATCAATTTTGTCGGTGATTTCATCAAGCGTGGCATTATAAAGCCGGGATATGAGTATGCCAGCGAACATACTGACAAAGGCATTGGCTGCACCAATAATGGATGAATTGCGCCAGGTGATCGGTTTGGACTAAATCGATTGAATGTAGAGCAAGGATCAAGTGTTGTGTTAAGTACAGTGTCGACGAGGAGGAGTGTTGGTAGGCAAGCTTCAAGGTGATGGTTCATGAATGTGATACATATCGATTATGGTCATCGCACAAACATTCATAATATAATTTATCCTGTTATATAGACTTTAAACTAGCTAGGGGATACTGAAAGCAATATCACTCTCTTTTGCATCTGTGCTATTGTTGTTTAGTTGATCAACTTCTAACAATATCGCTAGGCAGTTTACCAATATCTCAACATTCCCAAAACCTCTGATTTCAAATTAAGCTTCAACATGTCTTTTTAAATTTCTTCGTACTATTATCTTTTATTGCTAAAATTACACCAAAATGAGAGTTTTACCAAAACCATAAGTAGGTTGTAAGTTCAAATGTCAGCATTCCCTTACTCTTCCATCGACCCTAGCTTTCGTGCTCGGCCGTGTAGTTATAGTACACGGTGTTTTGGAACTCCGGCGCGCAGAAGGGGAAGGCCGTGTCGTCGTCACTGTGAGCGAACAAATTCTTGCCTGACGTGTACGTCACGTAGCAGCCCAAACAGAAGCAGACCACAACAACAATCAGCGCTGGAATTTTCTCCCAGACCGGTATGACGATCCACTTCTTTTTCAGCAAAAACACGATCGGTAAAACGATGGAATTTGCCGTGATACACGATGCCCCTGTGAAGTCGGCCAAGTCGTGGAAATGATCCTTTAAAAGCACAGATGCGATTACCAGTCCCGTGATCATGGCGAGTCGAAGTGCGATGTACTTGATAGTGTTCGCACCGCTGTACTCGGTGGCCTCTGCCTCGAGGTCATTACAGTATATGTTCTCGCTATTGGTGACAGAAATAAAAGAGCGCTTGGAAACACGAGACTCTTTGGCCGAGAGTTCAGTAGGGTCAGGAGTAGTAGCATCAGCATATGCATACAAATTGTTCTCGACGTCAAAGACGGCAGGCTTGTGCATGCCAAGCACAATGCGCTCAGCAATGTAGAAGGCAGGGTTCAGAATAACCGAGAAGGCAATCGTAATGTGAAGCTGCATGAAGAGGTAGGCTAGGACGACCATACCCCAATCTGATTTGAAACCGAGAGTGGTTAGTCCCGTTTCCGAGTCAGGGTAGATACTGAACAGGAGATTGCCCGAAATCTGGCAGCCAACTGCTGAGTACGCTGTGGTGGCAAGAATCAGGAAACAGCACGAGATGAATGACATCGTGACCCCCACTATCCGTGGCATGCGGGTGGGATCGCTGTGCTGACGCTGAAGTGACGGAATCACAATGCCGGCACCGTACGCAAGGGCCAAGTTGCCGAATGCACTAGTTATTTGCTTCAAGTTAAGGTCGGGCTTGGGAACAGTTGGGTGGTCACGCATGCCATACATCATGATGCCAACACCGATCACGTCCGTGATGATGGTACTCATACAACCGGCAAAAGCGGCGCCAGCTCCTTCATTCAGAGTCGGTACCAGACACACAGGTATGCACGAGAGTGCCATGAGGATAATCCACGTCGTCGTGCTGAAGGCGTCCGGAAAGAGACCATCCAGTAGCGTGCCACCCAGCACTAGGAATACGCATGGTACCAGCAGACAGTTGCCCATCTGCGCGATGACCGAAAGGTAGCGACCCGGTTTACCCATGCACCACTCGCCAAGATCACCGTAGGTTTTGACGGACGTTGGTGCGAGAAGCATGACACGACAGATGGCCACTGCACCGTACACATTGGCGAAGGCCATGAAGGCCATGGCTACGATTGCGATAGCAGGACCAGCGCGTGAGAAGTTGCCGGGCATACCAAGTGTTCCAATGCCATAGACGCAGCAGAAGAGGCTAAAAGCTGCCTTGGCGTCCTCTGCGGTGAAAAATGCTTTGCGCGGCATGATGTGGGTAGTTGGTCAGTGGGCGGCCTTGAGTTGTGAAGGTGGTGGTTGGTGCTACTGCTACTGAAGTTGAGTAGAAGCTGGCAAATTTGAAAGTGCGGTTTAAGGTCTTTGCGGTGTCGTAGTCATTTTGATTAACTATAAAAAAGTAAAAACTGAAAATCAAATTGGCATCTACCAAGATAGCCAAAATAGAGTTGTAGTAGCTACCACGATGTTAACCTTTATCATTCAATTAAAGTAAAGGCAATGGCTAGTTAGTTGTAACCGTTTGCGTTTGCAATAAAAAGCATTATACTGCCGATCATTAGTAGCAGGTACGCAAATTGGACTGAAAATCGACCACCTTACAGCCTACACTTCTTCATATTCATACACCACATATAGACAGGAGGGCCCCCCATGGTACGACGAGAACTTATAATGGGATGTAAGACAGTGGCAAGTTGAAGCTTTAATCTACTCAGATCGGGACTAGTACCAGATAGTAGAAAGACAAAAAGATGGGATGTAGACTTCAAGTTCTGTGTGTAATACTGTGCAGTTGACCATTTTGGCACAACAGAAGGCTCACCTCCAGCAGTTACAGAGGTTTTCGACCTGTTGTCGGATTCGGTAGGCACGATAGGATAAGCGGATTATATACACGCTCAAACCAACTACAGAATGTTTTTTATTCATACAGATGGATACCTATGAAGCAGCAGATCCGGGCGAGCTGCTGTACAGAAGAATCGGCGCAGCGACAGTGATTGAGAAGTGGTCATCCGATGTAGCGAACCGGATGTCATCTGGGGGGGTCTGTAGCCAGAGAACGGATGACTGCAACTTCATAGGAAACAAAAACTGTAATGCCGCTACGAGATAAAAGTTTTCCTCTCGTCAGCGACGTGCAGGCTTTTACAGGGCAGACGTAGCTGAAAAACTTGAGGCGTCAACAATAAATATCGTTGCCGGCGTATCTTAAGGAAGGTGCATATACATTATGTGTCTAGGAATTATGCACTGCATGAAAAACTTGGATCGCAAAAAATCTGAATGATTGTATGGCTTTTATAATCGATACTGGCATGCAGTCTGATGCTCGCCTAAAAAAGATAATGTTGTGTTCCATCTTGGAGATAGTTCAGAAACTTTTCAGTGTCTCTGTTTAAATATAATATCTTTGGCACATTCCGTTACATTGATGTTCAACATTGCACCCACGGCATGGTTATACAACCACATTCCAGCATGTACGCCTTGCTGATCTTTCTTGTTAGGCCATCACGCTAGCCTTGCTCCGGAAAGCGCATGATGACGCTGCAATTCCACACCGTTTTTTGCCACTTTCCCGACACGCTATTATCTGTCGAGACACGGGATGTGCAAGTTGTTCGTCTACCATCTTGATCCGTTATTTTTTTTGGCCAGATTGAACAAACGCACCGTCCCGCAAGCTATCACTCCTGGGATCAGGTGACGCTTCAGACGGCAAGATACCCTCATTTACCCACCGCACCATCCCATTAAATGGGATGAGGTCGGCAGAAGTGGTGTGCACAGCGGCGCATCTCATCATTCGTGTCGCCAACACGCAGGACACCTTATGATGTAGGTTAAGGGGAAGTCTTCGAGTGTGTTTGAATCACTCGAATACATTTGCATCGACAAGGAGAAGAAAACGAAGCTAAACCCCAACAGCTTCAGATACATGCTTTATTAAGATACGTCACGAATGTCAAGCGTACCGCATATTTGATTTGGAAGCCTCTAAGGTCAGGGTGCCACGCTTTGTAAAGTTGGATGAGCGCGAGGCGATTAAACAACGCAAGGCCATTCACATGTCAAAGACATTGGTAGTAAACCTATGCCTTTACCTGTGGAGGCAACCCCTCGTGGAGAGATCTGTGAAAAGAGTCAAAAATGGCCGCCAGAAGTAGACATGGAAAGTGCGCAATTAGAACCGGTCAAGTCATGCCTGCAGACTATTCTGATCTACCTGGATAATAGTAGGCAATATGTATTGCGATGCCGGCTATGTTCGAGGAAAACCAAATTGTGTTTTAGTCTTCAACGGCAAAGATGCTCCAATTAGGCGACTCTCTTACTTGAGGACAGAAGCAACGCTGAGAGAAGCGAAAGTCAAAAGATAATGAAGATTCGCCATCTCTAACACTTGCCAGGATCGATGAAGATGGCCTGATTGCTCAAGCAGTTTTCGCATACTCTGCAGTGAAGATGCTGCGCAGAGGTGCAAAGTCATGGATACTATAGTATTTTCCTATGAACGAAACGGAATGGAGGATGTACGAGGAACCAAGAGCCAAATTATTGGTTGTAAACGGGTGTTTGCCAAAAGGCGCGACTAACTTGGTCGGGTGGTGTGCTACAAGACACTGTTGCTTTCGAAAGGTTTTTAGTCGAAGTATGGTGTCCGACTCTTTCGAGTTATACTTATCGAAAGTTATTGTCCTTTCCATATGCGCGCCTACGAGGACCGGACGGAACAACTAAATGCCGACAACGCTTTTCTCAACAATAAGTTAATGGACCATATTCACATGGAAGTTCCTTTTGGCATCACGCTCAACGCTATGAGTGTCAGCTGGAACAGGCAATTTACGGTTTCAAGCAAGCGGGAAGCGCCTGGAACACGACTATTCATTATCGTATATTATTAGGAAATGGCTTCAGGAGCTGCGATGCAGGTCAGCACGCCTACGTCAAGTTTTCACAGTATGGTTCCGTGTACTATGTCTGTACGTCGATGATATGATTATTGTGATACAGGCGAACGACGAGATCGAAGAAGTCAAGGAAACGCTTAAGAATGCCTTCACGATAAAGGAACGGGGCATGGCGAATTTCACATTTTTTGCTCTACACGACAACACGAATCATGAATTGTGTTCGTGGTGACGCAGCTATTAAGATTTATTCGAAAATCTAGGACAGCAGCACTAGTGAGCTTCTATTTGCGTACTAAGGTAACCGAAGACGACATGGGCATATGAGGAAGGAAATGGTGACCTTATGGTTCGAGCATGCAAGATAGCTGGGGTATTTTGTGTCGGGTATCGTGGTGATGATCGGAAATGCATCAGTTGTGTTCAAGCCCAAGTTATAGCGGTTGCACTCGGCTCGGAAACCGATGACATGCATTGATCTAGTGCGTTGAAGAAACGCTGTAATTATGCGCAATGCTGACGGACATTGAAATTGATCAATAGACAGATCTAAGAGGACAATGAATGGCGACTGTGTGCAGGAACACCCCGCCCGGAACGAAGGACGTGAACGTTCGATTTCGCTATATCCGAGAAGGCATCGAGCTCGTAACAGTCAAGGTTGGATACGTGGGTACTAAGCATCAGCTAGCCGACGTAGACGCTAACGTTCTTACGCAAGGCGAGCAAAATCAAGACCAAGGGTACTTAACACTAACGACGAGTGGGAGTGTTGGCCTTGTAACCGCCATCACGGGTAAGGGAAGGTTATTGACCTTTGGTTAACCTTTAGTGTCATCAGTGCTCTAGGACCACATAACTGACTTTAAGCGACCAACCAGGGGTGACAAGTGTAAGGGTAAGACGGACACATGAGTAGTTTTGTTAAAGGAAGAGCAAGCCCGACTACCGTCATTTGAGCCTGCTGCATTTGCCAGAGTTTAGCTTTGATCTTAAATTTCAATGACGAGGGCTGTTTTCTTCTGGTTGAAAAAGCTCGCTTGGCTGCTTAAGCTCCGTCGACGTACACCTTTTAATGTCCTCAATCTCTTTAACATTAACGTCTAAGCGAGCAGTAGGTGGTGCTTTTTTAGTGTTGCTAAACGTTCAAATAGACGCGCAATCTCTACTAAGGTCGGTATAATAGTCGGCTCAGTTGAGGATTTCACTACGTTGGCTTCTGCCAATTGAAAGGGAGCTAGAAGCCAAGCACTGATTCACATGCGCAGTGAGTGGATGGAGTTGTCGATGTTTCTGAAAAGCGGCAAAATGCGAGTGATTGCTCGACTAAAGTGGTGACAAGTTTATAGGATATTGCAAAAATTTCAAGGTTCTGTGACGGCTGGTGCAATTCCTACGGGACTACACTTCAAGCCTCGTGCAACAGGATATTACAGAAGGGCAGTAGATTATATACTAAAAACTACAGTCTGGCGCTGCAAGCACAAGCATTGCCGCAGTCTCGGCAAATCGTAAGAGGTGTGGAAGCGGTCAGCTTTTGAATCAGTGTACGTTCTACAAACTGACATTATGTATGTCGGATGTGAGATGTTACAAATGACAGTGGATGGTATGGAAGATGAGCCGGCGAAACTCTGTACGGGGCGGCACGCGGCTTTATTATTTGCTTTCGTCATTATATTACGATGCGCTCTCAATTCCGGGTAAGTAATTTGCTATTCGTAGTTGAAATACGGCGTTTTTTAGCACCTCATTAGCACCTCAACCAGTTTGCTTTCGTCAGAAGCAAACAATTCACGGAGTATGTCTATAATATAGGCTTGCGATCAAGAAAGTGTTGCAATAACACAACGCATTAAACCAATACGATTTTCCTTCCCAAGTAGCAGCGAGTGCCCTCTGAAAGCTTGTTAACGTGTTCTTCTGCCCGTAGGTTGTATGGTATACCCAGGTGAAGTTACACCACCTGAAGCTCTAGATCCAGGCAAGTCCAATCATTTCGTCACATTGGTCGATAAACAACATGATTCCTGAAGAGTTGCAGTTTATAAGCAGATTAAGCCATCATTGCATCTTGCGAACTAGCGTCTTGTTGCGCGATTCTAACGCTATTCGACCTAAGCCATTTACTCGTCGATTCTCATTGCTTTTGGTCTACTTTTTACTTCATTTGCTGCAGACTAACGTGAGTTGCATCAAGCGTCGGTGATTTGAAGTTGCAGTGGCTTTTCAGATCTCCAATTCAAATTCAGGTACCTTCCCCCCTAAATTTAAGGACTATCAGTATAACCTTGAAAAATGCCCTAACGTCCACCTACTTTTACATTGCAACCTCATGCAGCGTCGAAATGACTTCGCTTGCATTGATGTCAATGGGTGGCGGTCGTTGTTTCGTCCTCCACAATAATTTGGCTTGAGCTCCGATATCCTTCGCCGCCTTGAAATCCTTCAACGGATGGTCCCCTACATGCAAAAATCTACTTGTAAATAATGGCTCCTCCTTTCTCTGCAACTGCTCGAACGTTGATTGAAAAATCGACGCGTGTGGTTTCATCTCGGGTTGCTCGAACGACGTCGTGACCACTTGGAAATAGTCTCGGAGTTGCAGTCCTACCAAAAGAGACTCCAACCTCTCATCGAAATTTGAGATGATACCCATTGGAACATGCAAGGCTCTGAGCCTCTCTAGTGTCGGATGCACGTCGTCGAACACCTTCCACGCTTCAGGACGCGCGAAATGCGCGTACAAATCACGCGCGAAGCGCTCGGCCTGCTCCTCGTTGTATGCAAGACAATCTGCCACTTTCGCGCGTTTCATTACATTCAGTACAAGTTGTCGCCACCACAAGAACGCGCTGGTAGCTTTGCTGTCTGACCCGAAGTTTGGATTGGAACGAGAAAGTAGACTGAACTCGATCGGGAATTGCGACGTGATGGCAGCGGCTGCAGCGGCGTGGCGAGACGATGTGAATGACAGGCCTGACACCTCTTTCCAGAAATTCAGATACGTCTCTCCTGGAGGTTCAACAAGACGTAGCAACGTCCCAGTCGCGTCAAACGTCACGTAGCGCCATGCGCGACAAGAGCTCATATTGATTCGTTCCGGAATGATTTGACCGACTCACCTAATATCAGATACACAAGAATTTGCCTAAAGTGCTTTTATCCGTTTATACACGTTATTAGTTAAGGCAGTAACTACTTTTGGCCGAATATACCAATATTACCAAACCATTTACAGAAATGCTTCTCAGTCAAGTGGAATCCTATCATGCACCAGAAGCTACTGCTTATAGGGGTGGGCGCTGCAATACCCGCTGAAAAGTGGCCATTTGGTGCAGCGTACCCTATCATGTCAGAATAATATGCGTTGATGAGCAATCTGACAAGCTCCCTCGACATGTCGATAATAGCATTTTATGTCAATTGTCAAACATTCGATAGTCTGGAATTCCCTGTGCTGCTAGAAATATCATCCGAGTTGACTTTTCGAGAGCGGACGATGCAAGATCAACCCCCACAAATTTGGATTCGATCCCAGGTCGAAAAGTCGGCGTTCCTATCCTCTCAATCGCAATCGCTCGATTTACGCTAATGTTCATATCTCTGACTGCTATCTTCAATACAACATTCACTTATGAAAATCTTTATAACAAAATCAGGAATCTTCTGCTCTTCTTTGCCCGCGCGGTCGCGTGAAGATGGATGTGGTATACTTAGGACCGTTGCCTTTGCTGCAACTATATCTCGAAAGGAAGCTGACCGGTTGTTGCATCTGAGATCGTCTCCGTTGCCAGTAGCACTAATTGCTCTGATCGGTCTTGGTTGTAGCACTCTTCCCGTGAGGCTAAGTGTACGCTGTAGCAAGCTGCCATGTGCTCACCGTTTGAGCTCACCGAAGACGCTTTATCTGATGACCGTAAATTCTGCGTCCATAGATGTTAGCATTTCCTCCGAGAACATCACACATACTCACTACATTATCTCAAAATTGGACAACAACTTTGCAACAACTCAAGTGCAGCAATATATTAGTTAATAGAAATACGGATACGGTGGGTCGAAACAGAATGCAAACGGCATTTCGAGATCATCATCGCCAATCAGGTAAGGTCGACGAGATGATCGCAGTGACCATGAATCGTTGCTGAGTGGCACGAATGGAGGAGGCATCGGGAGGTGTAGAGGGGGTGTCGGTAGTCGTCTACCACTCTGCCAGTGCCATTGTAACTGCCGGCGAGGCACATATCCGCAAAACCGGCGTTCACGAACACGTCGATTCCATGTATCCATTCCCTTCTCATAATTCCAATGCGAGATATATTGGCCTTTTGAATTGTTACCAGATTGCTGCACGCGGTAGTCTATACAAGACACAAGTTCAGAAATGAAAGAAAACGTTTGTGACTGCGTCCTGCTAGTAATTATAGCTAGTCGTACCACGCAGTAGTAGTTGATGCCACAGCTCGGTTGAGTCATTCAGTAAATGCAGATACTGCAGCCACAGCAAAATTAATGGTAAAATTCTACAACACACTGCAACAAAATATTGTTGTTTCGACACAACAATCATTATACCTTGCATGTCTGAGTGACTCGGCAGAATTCGGAGACTGTCAAAAATCCTTCAACTCGCACAAGTAGCGACTCGGGGAGGCGACTTAGCTCCGCATCTGAAGGCACCACACTGGTTTTACCTATAAATTTGGGAAACAAATTACGCTGAAGTCTTGTAGACAACATTAGACAAAGAAAATTAGAAAATCTGTCAAGATTACAATTATATTGTGGCTCACCTCCAGCCAAGAATCTCCAGGTTGCATCGCCATTGATCAGTGTATACTACACGACCCTTTTCTTGTTGCGTTTGCAGCCGACGAGGTTTCACAAACTCGGAAACTCTATCAAAAAAATGAATGCCAAAACTGTCAAGATTTTCAGCTGAATAAAGCTTTTCCGGCGAACGCACTTGAGACTCAACCGGATGGTTTTGTCGATTGACACAAAGTATACAAACAGTTTGTTGGCCACCAGCAGTGCGCGTACGTGGACTTTTACGTCTCCTTCGCCCATTTGTGGCAATTGGTAGCATTGAACCGGCAGCAGATTAACGTCACCCGCGAAGCTTTCAAGAACGACGTCACAGGAACTTGTATCACTTTTGAGATCATGATTTACCCATTCGTGTTCCTTTAACAAAGTGTGCGTCATCCAGAGCAGCGCCCCAGCAGCAGACAAAACGGTACTCATAATTTAGAATCTGGTTATGTGAGACTTTCACGCAATAGAAAGGAATTTTGTACTGCAACATTGTAAATTTTGAAAATCGGTTAGTGTCTCAAATCAAAGGTCATTTAGAAACCTGCGTAATCGGATCTGAACTTTGTATTGTTTCTGCGGTATTAAATTGTTAGGAGGAGACTAAATCCTGACCTGTATATAAAAACTATGATATTTCGACACAAATGAGTCGGCTTTGGTTTCGACTTAGTTGGTGCTGTTGATGCGGATATAGTACGGCTCGTCCTGGAACTCGCTTGTGCAGTAGGGGAACAGTGTGTCATCGTCAGACGGCGCAAACAGGTGCTTACCGGCGTGTACCATCACGTAGAAGCCAGAGGAGGCGCACACCACAATCACCAGCATCGATGCGCACTTGTCCCAAACTGGCATGGTCTTCCAGAACACACGCATGTAAATGATTAACGGCAACAGTAGGCAGCTTGTCGTGTGGGCTGTAGCGCCCGTGAAGTCCTGTAGGTCAATAAACCGCTTTCGAGCCAGCACGGCAATGACCACCAGGACAGCAACGATCGCCAGACGCAAAACGATGTAGCTCATTGGGTTGTTACGGTACGGCTCGCTAAGCTTCACCTCCGAGATCTCTTCATTAAACTCGAGGGAAACGCGCAAGTGCGACATACGTCCCTCTTCCTTCTCAACCATACTGGCGGCGGACACCTGACGTTTTACCGCATCCTTTGGCGTTGAGCTCTGCATGTACGATTGCTTCTTCTCCATGTCAAGGTCCAGGTTTATCTGGTCTAGCTCACCGTCAAACGGAACGATCTCAGGACTCTTGTGCATGCCCAAAATCAAACGCTCTGCCATGAAGAAAGGAGGCATCAGCAGTGTCGAAAAAGCGATCGAAATGTGAATCTGCATGAACAGATACGCCATCACCACAGCACCTCGGTCGGCACGGAAGCCCAGTGGAGCCAGACCAAGCGGGTCCGACGTGCTCACAATCGAGTACAGGATGTTGCCCGACAACTGGCAGCCACCGGCCGTGTAGCCAGCCAGAGCGATCACGATGAAGAAAACAGAGATGAACAAAATCGTGATCACCACCACACGCGGCATGCGCTGCGGCTGTGAATGCTCGCGCTGCAAGTCGGGCACCACAATGGCAGCACCATAAGCTAGAGCCAGATTACCGAAGCATGTCAGCACCTGGTGTAGTGTTACATCCGGCTTAGGTATCGAGTCGTGGCCGCGCATGTTCCACTGCAGCAGAATCACGGTGATTATGTCGGCGATGACGGTACCCATGCAACCAGCGAAGGCCATACCGGCACCCTCTTTCAGCGTTGGGGTCAGGCACACGGGAGCAACCATGAGCGCCATGAATATGATCCAGTAAGTCTGGCTGAACGAATTTGGGAACAGCACGTCCAATAAGGTGCTACCCAGCACGAGAAAGGCGATCGGCACCAGTACACATACGCCCATCTGAGATAGCACCGTCAAAAGACGGCCCCATTTACCCAGGGTCCATTCACCCAGGTCACCGTACGTTCGCACGGATGACGGTGCCACCAGCATCACTTTGGACAGCTTGAGGGTGGCGTACGTGTTGGCAAAGACCATGAATGCTAGAGCGATAGACGCGTAAATCGGACCGGCACGAGCGTAGTTTGAAGGCATGGCCAGTGAACCGATACCGCACACGCAGCAAAAGAGGTTGAAGGACGTCTTTGCGTCTTCCATTGTGAAAAAGGCTTCCTTGCCATTTGACGGCATCGTGGAACGAACGAGATGAAAACCGAGTAGTTCGCCGAGGCGATGTTGTTGTAGACTCCGTCGAGTGAAGACAAATTTCAAAGTGAGCGTGTTGAATGAGCCTGTAATCGTTCTTGAGACCAAAAAAGAAGACCGGTTGAATTACTTGTCTCTTCGAGTCACTTGCCTTTCTCGCGCATGGTGTTTGAAGCGGACAGAGCCACCACATCAGCTTATTGCTTTTTAGCAAGCATACGGTGCAAGTGCGCACAAGTTCATATCCATCGCGCTAATGTCTCATGTACTTAAAAGTGCTGCATCAATGTCAGGGATTAGAAGCGGTCGAGTCTTTTCTATGATGTGGCCTTTTTATCAGGCTCTGCATTTGTCAAGCTCAGTCTCTGCCCTACTTATAACAAGTGACTGGTGCAACAGAGCAGGGCAGGACTTGCTGATCAAGATACGGAGCACCACAAGACAAAGCGCGGGGTGCAGTAAATGAAGTACTGCAATGACCCTTGCTGAGTGGATTGCAAGGTCGCTGCACATACAGCGCGTGTGTACATTAGTATGAACATGTGCAGATTGAAGACACTGTGGCGCTGTGTGCCAGTACACTATCGACATGGCGGATGAGCGCGCTAGCTTGCTCATTAGGTAATTTGATTTGGATATGATAGGATGTGCTGCACCGGATGGTCATTTCTCAGCAAGTTTTGCAGCACATGCAGCAGATCGCTCGTGATTTGTTCATAAATGGTGAAATTTTGGACTCGTTTGAAGAAATGAGCATGCACGAACAGCGCGTCACTGGTGAGAGCGTTTCTACTCAGAATTGTCCCTGCTAAATTTGAGCTCAACATCTCAGGCCCAAAACGAGATCAGCTTTTTCTTGGTGACGCGCTGTGCGTCGCAAGCTCGCAGATTTGACACCTTCTAATCTAAGCAGAAACCAGCTTTTTTCCGGTGATACAGTTTATCGTTTATCTCATCTGATACGAAGGTGACTTCAGAGCATGGTCTCGATTCAATCTTTAGCGACACTTCCTAGCTAGTTCCATTGAAGGTATAATTGACTGTTGCCCCTGACTCATACGTCTTCTCCTGCATCTATAACAAACAAGCCTAACACTCTCAAGCATACATGGCAGATTGGCAAACGCTGCACATCTCTGATGCAGTTCTTTCAAATATTTCAATGCAAGCATAGTGTAAACGCATCAATACATCTTGAAATGGCTACTACAAGACGCACAAAAAGGAAAGTGATGATGAGACGATTAGCAAGATGTTCTGAAAGAGCTAACATGAACCCCCACTGAATGTCGACCATGTAGGATGTTTCTCGTAGCGGGAAAGAAAAAACGTGCGTACGCCACTGTGAGCATGAAAGCCCACAAGTGTGGAAGTTCGGGACAACCTACATCTTGGAAGCCGTTAGTATCGATATCCGACTTAAGATATTGATCAGGCGTGCTACAAAGGGTGCATCATGGAGAAGACAAAGGTAAAAATTGTGATTAGCAAGGCAAGCAGTATGTCACGTTTGCCCGCGTGGGGCTCACACAAATGATAACGAATGATATGATAGAATTGCGTATGCACTGTAAAAGTACTGATCGTTGCTTTGTATCACCACGGTGTAAGAGGGGGCTTCGGTCCGACTGGCAACAACGGATCATCGGTGGCCGGCCTGGGTTTCGAGGTATCGCATCGGCTGGACCAAACTCTACGCGGAGCAGTTCAAGAACAATTTTAGCAGCGATTAAATGCACAGGTTGGTCGAGACCGAGAGGACCAATAGTTGTATTTAGGGTGAGCAATCACATGCGGTATCTGTCGAACTCAAGATGGACGGACGTCGACGAGAGTTCAGCTAGCAACCCCAACCTTGTACAATCTCAGGTAAAATATGTCACAAGCATCTGCAATAACTACACAATCCTGTTCGCAGGATGGCTTAGTTCTGGCATGGTTAGTGACGAATGATGACGAAAATCCGCCAGTAAAGAGACGCGGTTCATCAAACATGTTTGCATCACTTAACAAATTGCATATATAAAGTCGGCGACACTGCCTATAAAGCACTGGGGCTAGTTTAGTGTTCTCGTTCGGGCACTTGTGAATCCGCCGCTGCTTTACGAATGCGGGCGATGAAGAGCCCACTCGTGTTTTGCGACGGGGTGAAGCGTAAAGTGCCTGGAAGTTTTCCCTCCTACGCAAGCCAATAGACACGAGTTAAGGTTCAAAACTTTGCATCAGTCATGAGTCAATCTCCGAGTATTTGTACATACCTGACATGGAACGTCTTTGCTACGTGCGATCGCGTCAAGCTTAGCAAGCGGTTCATCCTGAAGAAACTCTGACACAATATCTTCATTCTGCTTGGTGGACAAACTGCAAGTGCTGTAAATCATCGTGCCGCCAGGACGCAACAACTTGAAGCCGTTCCGGATGAGTCCACGCTGCAGCTTCAAGATCCGTCCGACCTCGTTTGCATTCAAATGGTCGAGCACATATTTCTCCCATTTATCAGCCGTATTCAGTCGCTGTAGATGGCGGATGGAGCCATCGTGCGTACACTCGGCATCCACTAAAACCTTGTCATAAAGAGCAGCGTCAGCCAGCAGCAGCTTCTGCTGCTTCGCATCTCGCGCGCGAGCGCTTTTGTTCTTGCGCTTACGCTTCCGATCTTTCGGAGCTCTTGATGCTATCTCTTGCGTGTCCAGCAGCAACTCCACTCCATCAACCTGTGCACATTCCGTCTTGGGTCCGATGTTGAAGGTCCTTCCATCAGCAAAAAATAGTCTGCACCTCCACTGGGTACCTGCACCCAGGAGCTGATATTTGTGCACCAATCGTCTACAAGCACACAACCTCGAGCGTGAATAGTCAATGCCTGTAACGCTTCCACGGAGCTGCAGAAGGTCGGCGATCATCGTCAATTTGGCTCCAGGAGCGCAGCACAAGTCCAGCACGTGCTCTCCAGGCTGAATTTCCAGCAGTGAAACAGCAAAACCCGACGAAATGTCGATACCATACACTTGCCCGTCTTGGTATAGAGAAACTCGAGCCAGTGGGGCGGACACGGGTAGTGAAAAGAAGCCTGGAAGCCACTTGACAGCTTGTGGCACGACGTTCTTAGCCCGTTCAGCGTCGATTTCTGCGGTTTCTTGAGCCAAGTTGGCAGCTATTAGCTGCAGCCGAGGATCTTTACTCTCCTTGTCGTTATTTCGTGCCACTTGCTTGAGTCTGAAGGTAGTACAGCCAGTAAAACAAGTAAAAACGTGATTTTGGACAAGGAATGATATAGAACTTGAAAGTTTTTATTGTGATACCTGAAGAAACGTAGAGATTCACCATTGGATGAAGGATTGATAAGATCTTTCGTATCCACATGATGTTCCTTCAGGAAGCGAAGAAAACCCGAAGTCTCCCATATGATTTGGTCATCCCAAGGTGTCGTCATTGTCATCGTTTTTATTGACACTCGCACACGTTTATCATATGGCTACATTATGACATGTCTACACAAATGTAGCCATACATTAGTATAAGCGGTACATACCGGTATCCTCCAATGATCACCACAACTCAATATCTAATCTTCCAGTCATGACGACCGCACCAAAGGAAGCCAAGAAGCTCTGGGGTGGCCGCTTTCGCGGTAATGTGGACCCAGTGATGAACAAGTTCAACGAGTCTTTGTCTGTAGACAAACGCATGTGGCGTGTGGATCTGGATGGCAGCCAAGCGTATGCACGTGCGCTGGAGAAGAGCGGTGTGCTGACGACGACCGAGGCCGACGAGATCGTGACTGGTCTGGACAAAGTGGGTGACGAGTGGGCGGCCGGCACGTTTGATCCCAAAGAAGGCGATGAAGATATTCACACGGCCAACGAGCGTCGTCTTACGGAGCTAATTGGCGCTGTGGGTGGCAAACTCCACACGGGTCGCAGCCGCAACGATCAGGTGGCAACTGATGTTCGTCTGTATCTGAAACGCACGATCGTCAGCATCCAGGAAGGTCTAAAGGAGCTCATTGGCACGGCCAGTCAGCTGGCCGAGAACAATATTGACCTCCTTATGCCCGGCTTCACCCACTTGCAGCCGGCCCAACCGCTGCGCTTCTCGCACTGGGTGCTGAGCCACAGTGCGGCGCTGCTGCGTGATGCCGATCGACTGACCGATCTTACTAAGCGCGTGGACTACATGCCGCTGGGCAATGGCGCATTAGCTGGCAATTCGTTTGGCTTGGACCGTGAGGCCCTGGCCAAGTCATTGGGCTTCGCCAATGTGACGCCCAACAGTCTGGACGGCGTGTGCGACCGCGACTTTATCGCCGAGTTTCTCTTCTGGGCCTCCATGCTCATGGTGCACCTGTCACAGATGTCCGAGGACCTCATCATTTACAACACGCTCAAGTTTGTGACCATGGCCGACGCCTACAGTACAGGCAGCTCCCTCATGCCCCAGAAGAAGAACCCCGACGCGCTGGAGCTTCTGCGTGGCAAGAGCGGTACGGTCATCGGGCGTTTGAGTGGTTTCCTCGTGACGCTCAAGGGCTTGCCACGCTCCTACAATAAGGACCTGCAGGAGGACAAGACAGCGCTCTTCGACGTTGTCGACACCATTCAGGACTGCCTGCAGATCGCTACCGGCGTTCTAGCAACCATGACCCCGCACGGCGACAAGATGCGCAGCTTTCTCGTAACGGAAATGCTGGCCACTGACTTGGCCGAGTACCTAGTGCGCAAGGGCGTCCCATTCCGTGAGACCCACCACGTTGCCGGTGCTGCAGTGCGACTTGCCGAGGACAAGAACAAGGCTCTGAGTGCCCTCACGTTCGAAGAACTATTGCCGCTGCACTCCAAGTTCGAAAAGGACGTTCTGGACGTGTGGAACTTTGACGCCAGCGTTGAGCGCAAGAATGTCACGGGCGGCACCAGCAAGAGCGCCGTGCAGCAGCAAATCGACAACATCAAGGCGTGGCTCGCGTAGATCAGGCGTATAGCTAGACAGCTCAGCAGCCTACTCTGGTCTCGCTATAACTGCCATCACTCTTTATGCGCTATTTCAACCGAACATCTTTTAGCTCTTTCCCTAATGAAGAAGACGTCATTCTCAACCTGATTCTTTTGTGTTCCTTCTGCTCAGACTGTAGCAATAAAACACTCAGTGACGATGTTCAATACTTTCTGTTGTCTTTCCTCTTCTTCCTCTCCCTTAACTTTTTGTAATCGTACCAGTAGATACAATCTCGTTGTCTTTCCGTGCTTAGTGACCCCTGCAGAGCCAGCAGTATCAGACCGTTTGTTAGTTTGTTATACTAATAATGGACACATTAACGCATTGCAAACGCACGAGTTCTTGCGACGTAGGATAAAGTCGATCATGGAACCAACGCGTCGATTCGCACGGCGAATATTTTGCTCCTCAGCTTTGCGCTTGCGCTTCTGCCACTTCTTTTCGTGAAACCTCTTGAGCCCCAGCGTTTTAAGTGTCCCGTCCTCGGCCAGGATTGTCTGCATACGGCTGGCTACTCGACTTGGGTCCTGTTCATCGTGGACCTTTACCCATAAAGAGCGCTGGAAACCCGTACGACCTGCCAGTCCACTCATCGGGTAACGAGCTGTGGTCCGGAACAGTGCAGCCATCATCTTGGTAGCTTAGTGTGTGGCCATCGAAAGAGGTAGAAACCGACATGAAACCGGTTTGTCTCCACCTATATACCGGTATTGTGTTTTTAGCCAATCAATCTCGCTCACTCAAGAAGGCGACGAAAAAGATGGCGGATGAACTAACGGATGTGCCCGAGGCGAGTCTGCGCAACCTAATGGCACAAACGTCACTCCAATGGATCTTTGTAGGTGGAAAGGGAGGCGTAGGGAAGACCACTACTTCTTGTTGTCTGGCTATTCAGTTGGCAGCACAACGTGAGAAGGTGCTTGTCGTATCCACGGACCCGGCACACAATCTCAGGTGCTCACTATAAAGCTTTACGTTCTCTCATATCCTTGTATTAACTATTCGCTGTAATATTCTAATTATGCTCTTATTTCATACAATAGCGATGCTTTTGGACAAAAGTTTACACGGGAGCCGACGCCTGTAAACGGCTTTTCAAACTTGGCGGTCATGGAGATTGACCCTAATGTGGACGTACGAACGGCTTTATTTGTGGGTTTATGTTCTACCTTCCCACTGTACTAATATGATTATGTGATGCTGCTGTATGCAGCTGGAGGAAATGAACGCTGATGGTGTGCAGGACAATTCGGGCATGGCCTCATTCATGAAGGACCTGACAAATTCCATCCCCGGTATTGACGAGGCCATGAGCTTCGCAGAGCTTATGAAACAGGTGCAGAACATGGATTACTCGGTCATTGTGTTTGACACAGCCCCGACGGGCCACACATTGCGTTTGCTAAGCTTCCCTACGGCGCTGGACAAGGCTTTTGACAAGATCTTGTCGCTTAAGAACCAATTCTCCGGCATGTTCTCGCAAATCTCGTCGATGCTGGGCGGTGCCCTACCGTCGCAGGAATTGTTGTTAGGCAAGCTTGAACAGACGCGCGAGGTCATTCAAAAGGTGAACACTCAATTTAAGGACCCAGAACGCACTACCTTTGTGTGCGTGTGTATTCCGGAGTTCCTGTCGCTATATGAAACCGAGCGACTCGTGCAGGAGCTTACTAAATACGAGATCGACGTGCACAACATTGTGGTGAACCAGGTGCTGTATCCAGAAGAGGGATCGACGTGCAAGAACTGCAGTGCCCGACAGAAGATGCAGCAGAAGTACATTGACCAGATTTACGACCTGTACGAGGACTTTCACGTGGTGGAGATGCCCCTACTGAATGAGGAGGTGCGTGGCGTGCCCTCACTGACCGCTTTTTCTGCGAACCTGCTCGCACCGTATGAACCCAACCAGTAACGTCAAGATACACACAATACATAGCCCTTGCTGCGCGTGCTAAGAAGGCTCTAGTCTATATAGATCTTGATCTTATTCGTCACTACTGTCGCTATATTCTGCCACTAAGCTTGCAACAGATTGAATAGGCGTCTTCGCCTTAACCTTGTTGTTTTTCTTCTTCTTTGTAGCTATGGTCGTCATCTTCTTGATCGTCACAGCCAGCTTCAACGATGGCGTACTTGTCGAAGAAGCTGTAACGAGGCCTGTTAAAGGATTACCAGCCTTCGCTTCTTCACTGGCGTCGTCCACTGGTCGCTTGTGAGCATTCTGCTTCAACTGCAATTTCTGCTTCTGTTCAAACACACGATGTGCCTCTTGTCGGTCCTCCTCAAGCTGTTTTTCCTGCTCTTCCTTGCTAATTTTCCCCACATCTGCGTGTTGCTGCAGCAATTTGTCCGTATCCACTTTAGCGTGACGTTGGTTAATGGCTTTAATCTCATCCAGTGCATCCAAAATGTCCATCTCCCGCTTCGAGTCAAGTGTGCGGTTCTCCAATGCCTTCATAGCGTCTCCTTTCTCCTCTTCGACTCGTTGGGCGACGGCCGCCTCCTGTTCGTCTTCATTCTCTCGCCAAGGCTCAAAATTCCGTTGACAGCCATGCTCTGCCACGTAGTCACCACGTTTAGGGTCCGTCTTGAACGTGATCTCCGACGAACACGTGATGCACTTGATATAAAAGCGATAAATGCGAATACCGTGGTAATTCTCCTCCAGTACTTCTTCCTTACGTGAATTAAACTTTTTACCACGGTACATGTATTCACCACACGTAGCACATTGGATAGAAAAGGGAAGCATCATACGAACTTCCACCTGTTCATTTTTAGGTTTCTTTCGGCGTGGAACTAACGATGGATCAAAGTCCGGTGGAAAGTATTTGTTTAGGACCTTGCGCTCCCCCATTATGACGGTCTAGTGCTATGGATATAACAAGATAGAGGGAAATTGACCGCATGTGATTCACAACTTAATCAAATAATAGAGGTTTTATAAGACTCGAGGTTTTAGTAAAGGCTTTTTGACAGATCCCCCTTACAATAATATTTGAGTAACTTATGGACGAGTCGCACGATCTGTCGATGGTTCGCAGAGTGCATCCGGTGTGCATCTGATGTGCAAGAAAACCCCTAAACATGGATTACATTCCGACAAAGGTGGACATAGGCCCATCAGTCCAAATTGTATGAAGCTTGTCCGGCGCATTTTTATCTAATTATGAAGGTTTTCCCAGCCTCTGGTCGCCTCTCCCCTCCTCTGTTTATTCCTGTGGTCTAGTCTGCCAACTAGACTTTTGTATGGATGTCGATAAACTCGTACCGTCGTTGAGGAGGGATGACACGCTGAAACCGTTTTGACGACACAAACGGGACGTCTGCTTTTTCAGACCACACAACCTCTCTCTATACATATCTATAGTAGAATTTTCATCATTATATCTAGCCAATCTACTATGTAAAGTGGCCTGTAAAGTCTATTATAGCCAATCATCGTACTTTGATTCGATCCACTGACTTGTATGGCATTTTAGAATTGGTGACAAGATCCACAAGTCTCTTTACTTATACACAATTTTCTATGGCTTTAACTCGTGCTTCCGTTGCCGCTGGGCGTATACAAGCCGCCTCTCGTTGTCCTTTTATGCATGCACTACCTACGGCTCGTGCTGCTTTGCTCCCCAATATCTCGCAGCTGGCGAAATTGTGTCCGCACATGTCGTCGATCATGGGCACTGCGTCTGTTGGCAGTAGCAACAATTCCCAGGCTCACTCGACGTTTACCACGTCAGATGCGACGCTCAAACGCATTAAGGAGCTCAAGGAGAAGATGCAGAAGCAAAAGACTGCACAGAGGGGCAGTTCCAAGCCGTACTCATCGGCCGTAGCTCGCTTCCCGACGGCTCCGACGCGCCAGACGCGCGTTGGCGGCCTGTCAGCCTCGCAGTATGAAAAGGGTTTTGTTCAGACCATTGACACTATCAAGAAGGAAGGTCGGTACCGCGTTTTTGCCGACTTGGAGCGCAAACGCGGCAATTTTCCACGTGCGACACACCACGAAGTGTCGGGCAACACGAAGGAGGTTGTGGCTTGGTGTAGCAATGACTACTTGAGTATGGGACAACATCCGAAGGTCATTGCTTCAATGCAGGAATATCTAATGAAATCTGGTGCTGGTTCGGGCGGAACTCGCAATATCTCGGGCACTAATCACAACCATGTGCTGCTAGAACGTGATTTGGCTGACTTGCACCAACAAGAAGCAGCGTTACTCTTTACGTCTTGCTATGTAGCCAATGATAGTGTGATCAGCACGCTTACCAAGATTTACCCGGATCTCATCATGTTCTCGGACAGTTTGAACCATGCGTCCATGATTCAAGGCATTCAACATAGTGGAGCTAAGAAGTATATCTACAAGCACAATGACACCAAGGACTTGGAAGAAAAGCTCAAGATGGCCGACCCACATGCTCCTAAACTGATTCTGTTTGAAAGTGTCAACTCGATGGAAGGCACAGTCGCTCCTTTGCATGAGATTTGCGACCTTGCAGACAAATATGGAGCTATGACGTTCAATGATGAAGTGCACGCCGTGGGGCTATACGGCAATCGTGGTGCTGGTATTGCTGAACGTGATCACTGCTTGGACCGTATCACGATGGTGACGGGCACTTTGGCCAAGGGCTACGGTATCATGGGTGGATACGTGGCTGGCAACGCCGCGCTTGTGGACGCCATGCGCTCGTGCGCTTCGGGCTTCATCTTTAGCTCGTCGATGCCGCCCATGCTTGCAGCTGGTGCTCGTACATCAGTGAACTACCTGAAGGAGAGCCAGGTGGAGCGTGCTACCATGCACGCGCGCTCGCAGGAGCTCAAGAACATGCTGGTGGACGCCGGTTTTCCTCTACTTCCGAGTGTGAGTCACATTATCCCGCTTATGGTTGGCGATGCCGAAAAGGTGAAGGAGGCTTCGCGCATTCTTATGGAGAAGCACCGCATCTACGTGCAGCCCATTAATTTCCCTACTGTGCCCCGTGGTGAGGAGCGTCTGCGTCTTACGCCGCTGCCGACCCACACGGACGCCATGGTGGAGGATTTGATGATGGCTCTGGAGGACGTCTGGACCACGCTCGACCTACCGCGCCACTTTGTGTCCAAAGGCGAGTACCTGCCTAAAGTGGAGTGGGCCAACTCACCGCTGGAGATCGTTGGCGAGTTCATGGTGGAGTTGGAGGCTGCCTGCGCTGCTTAAGTGCATGTTGCGCCAGCGTTGAAGGAGCCTGAGGCAATTGATTGCGTGTAAAAATCTTGACAATGTATGCGTAACTACTTACTTGGATGCGAAGCAAGTAACACAAGAGAAGCTAAACTTTTGTTGATGAATGCTCATGCTATCACACTCATGCGGCAAGTCATCGTAAGAATGATCTAAAATTTAAAATACTGTGCAGGCTCAATCTTTCGTCTTTGTTAGGATTCTTTGCCCATGACAACAATTTTGTTGTTGTTGTGAGTAGTATGAAAAGAACGCATTGTTTGTACTATATAATGTATGTCCATTGGATTGGGACGTCAGGCAGACCTTTTTTCTACAAGTTGAAGTCAAGTACGGTACATCTGTAACTCGTACCGTAAACACTCTCATTATGTCGACGTGGTTCTCAGACGAAGCTCTTCAGCTCTTGAAGGCGCGTAATCAGCGCGAAGTCGCAGCATTTAGCGACCTCATTGCGTCGCATCAGCAGCTTTTATTCCGTTCTGCCACTTCCTCTTCTCTTGGCGCATCTTTACGTCTCCCCAGCGCACAGGAGCAAGATGACGCCGCCGCTCAGAAATATTTGGTGACTATTCAGCGATTGGAGCATGAAGTAGCGGATATGAACGCACAGTTAGCGAGCTATACGGGACAACAATTGGCTCTTGTGAGTGAGAGTAAGACGTTGTTACAGGAGCGTGACAAGCGGGAGCTTCAGCTGGAGCTGGCGACCAAACGACTGGACGAGGAGATTGTACTAAGTCTTGAGAAGGACAAGGCTCTTAAGGAACTGGACGCTGCATTGTTATTAGCCAGAGATGAACTGAAGAGGCACAGATTGCTGCTGGAGAACAGTGAGAAGGAGACGGAGAGACTAAGAAAGAGAAATGCGGAGCTAGAGATGCAAGTACAGGAGAAGAATGCGTTACTTCATGAGTGGATTCAATCAGAGGAGCATCCGTCTCCTGCACTGACAGCAATGATGACTCAGGAAACAGCCGATAATATGAGTCACTTGCTGCTGAATGAAGAAGAAGGAGTGAGTCCTAAAGCCAAGTTGGTCACCCATGTGACACACTCGATTCGTGCTCATGCGACAGAAGTGAACTCGGTGTGTTTTAACACATCGGGCAAGATCTTGTTTAGTGGTAGTAGTGATGGCACGGTGAGAGCGTGGGAAGCAGAGGCGGGAGCATTGTCTTCCCCTAGAGCATTGGGTGAGTATAGAGGCGTTGGCACTGCACACCCATTGCTGTGCGTGCGTGCATCGGAGGATGGTGCGCTAGTTCTTGGAACTGGGTGCGATCGAAAGTGCTTTGTATGGAGAGTGGGCACTGGACGCGTCATGCAGACGCTTACAGGACACAAGGGCAAAGTGCTGGCTGCCGAGTTTTCTCCTGTTTTGCCTCATGAAGTGATCACAGGCTCGTCGGATCGTAGTTTGCGTGTGTGGGATGTTATGCGTGGAGTGCGACTGCAGACTATCAGCTGCGTGTCAAGTTGCAATGACATTGCTGCGCCTTCAGGAGCTAACGCGACTTTTGTTCAGTTTGCAAGTGCTCACCAAGACGGTGCTGTCCGCTTCTGGGACACGAGGACACGACGTTGCGTGCAAGAGCTGCAGGGTGTTCACACTGAACAGACCACATCTGTGAGTTTCGGTGGCAACGAGCTCCTCACCAATTCTAGAGATCATTCTCTACGCGTCATTGATCCACGTACATATCGCGTGCTACGTGAGTTGCGTCACAAAGATTACCAATGTGGGTTCGATTGGAGCCAGGCTTCTCTGAGTCCAGACGGACGGTACGCGTTAGCAGGTGGAGCTTCCGGTATTCTTTTTGTATGGAATGCTCGCACCGGCAAACTTGAAAAGCAGCTAAAATCTGGTCCTACTGGCCATTACGGAGCTATTGCGTGTTGTATGTGGCGTCCTGATGGACAAGGTGTTGCGTCGTGTGACAAGAACGGTGTCGTGGTTCTCTGGGAGTAAGTAAGACCCTGGACACAACGACAGCAAGAACAACGAGTCTGTAGTGTATTTTGTATTGTGTATTGTTTTATCAGCAGTTTTACTCCTTGAGGTCAAAGGACGTGCCACAGCCACAACCACTGACTGCATTGGGGTTATTGACTACAGCAAAGGCACTACGAATGAGCTCCTGTTCAAAGTCCACGGTGCTGCCTCGAATGAGTTCCAGTGACTCCTTATCCACGACAACACGTCCGCCGTGTTGCTCAATAACCACATCCTTTTCATCGTCTGGTCTCGCGTCCTTCTCGAACTCGAGCACGTACTTGAAGCCAGAACAACCGCCACCCTCCACTGCGACGCGTAGCATCAGATTATTAGTCTTTTGTCGCTTCGCAGCTTCAATCAATTTTTGTGCAGCAAGAGGTGTAATATGAAGATCAGGGACATTATTCGTGTCGTGTCGTGTGACTTGGACGCTGGAAACCCATCGAGGCTGGTGACGCACTAAATGCCGTGAAAAGACCGACGTGATGTTTATCATCTTGAATTATGAATAGGCATATGAGGACCACTTTTTTTTTCAAGACGGATTCGGTAAAATACGATAAATTGCTGAATCTAACAAAAGCTGTAAGTTATTTAATTGTGCTGGGTAGCAAAAGTCTGATCAGCTACACTTATGCAAACCTCTTTAACGAACTTCCATATCTTTCGACTTTCGGAGATGAATGGAGACATAATTTTTGGTTGCTTAATGTTGTCGAAATGGGTGAAGCTATTGGTATTGATGACTTAGATATCGTCGAGTAAAGTTGAATTGTCAGCCCGATCAAAAGAGGTAGACATCATCATACAGAGGCCAACACCACGGCACGTTTGCGACACTACCGTCGCGATAATTACCGAGAGCTTTCGTGTGAGCTTTCGTGTGAGCTTTTGCGCTTATAATCTTATCAGACGCACTTGGCTCAAATGGCTGCATCTGGAAACAAGTGGACGGTCCTCCATATCGCTAGGCTCACACACACAAAGCTGATGCGACTATTGTTTTTGAAGCTGGATGCATCACTGACTGTAGGCTCCGGTGTCACTTGTAATGGCTCCTCAGTCAGTACTATATGACAAGCGGACGCACCGGTACCAGTGCGAGTTACAATCTGCTACTTACTTTATTTTACCTTACACTGCTTCCATAAGGGTCATGGAGCTTTTGCTATTCAATGATGGAGATTCGGGTGAAGTATCGCTGTGTCAGGGACTTCTGAATTCTCATAGCTTTGGATCGGCATTTGAGATCGTAGTTCGCGTTGCTGGAGTGATGCGGAGTGAGGAATCTCGCAGGACAACCTCAATCTCAGCTAGAGGTTTTCGTGGCTCGCAGCATAAAGTTCATGCCAACCAGCTTGGGTACCATGGAGACCTCGCATTCACTTCAATTGCCATAAGCATGTCTTTCTGAATCAAGGGAGCGTAATTATCGAGTAAAAGAGCTGCATCAGGAATAGCTTGCATCAAGCAGAAATAACCAGTAGAAGCGATGATCGGGCATGTATATGTCCACATTAGCGACAAATAGACCGCACATCGAAGTGAACGCGAATGTTGAGACAAGTTTTTCTGATAGTCTCTTGCATTCTATTGCGCCACCTTGTCAAGAACAATGCCAGCATATTGTACAGATAACCTTGTGCAATACTAAGGTCTTAGCCTCTTTGTCACAATCCAACCAAACAACAAACAAAGAGCTTTTGCTTTGATCTTTCGCTCTTTAAGCTCTCTTATAGCTGCTAATGTAAATCGGTCGCTTGGTTCTATTTACTGGGATGCTGATGCCGCCGAGGGCGACTCTGCGGAAACATTTACGGCAGCAGGCGCACTTTGCGTCTCGTCTTCGACCTCAACCTTGTCCTCAACCTCGTTCTCATTCTCATTCTCGTCCTCATTCTCATTCTCGTCCTCAACCTCGTTCTCATTCTCATTCTCGTCTTCAACCACGTTCTTGTCCTCAACGTCGTTCTTGTTCTCGACCTCGTCTTCGTTCTCGTCGCCGCTGTCCTTGGAACTGCGTGGGCTGCCACCAAGCGTAAGCGCTTTCGTAAGTGAAATCGTGGCCTTGACCGTGCTAACTGCAGCACGGAATTTGCGACGCGCATTAAACTTGCGTAACTCTTGCAACGCCGTCGTAAGCTGCACATCCTTGACAGCATCAGCTGCAATCCACGGGTGGTCCAGCAATTGTCGCGCCGTCCATCGCTCTGCTGGTGCCAAAATCAGCATCTTGCTAATAAGGTCTTTAGCTTCAACCGACACGTCGTCCCAATATGGCGAGTCAAACTCGTAACGTCCTGCTTTAATAAGTCTAAAGAGCATCCCTTGATTGTCATGATGAAATGGCGGGTATCCACATAGCAGGATGTACGTAATAACACCGATACTCCAAATGTCCACTTCCTTGCCATACGGCTTTGACATTAAAATCTCAGGAGCCACGTACCCTGGGGTCCCACAGGCCGTCGATAATCCCACATCTCGACTCTGAATTGCTGCTTTCTTTGCAAATCCAAAATCGGCAAGTTTAATATCTGCATCGTCGTCTGCACTGCTAAGCAATAAATTTTCTGGTTTCAAGTCACGATGTACAACGTCTGCATCATGACAAAATGCAATTGTTTCGAGCAAAACTTTGACCAAATCACGTGCTTCTCTTTCTGAATAGAAATTCTTTTGAACAATCCGTTCAAAGAGTTCGCCTCCTGGCATAAACTCGGTCACTAAAAAGAAATATTTCTCTTCTTGAAACACATCGTATAATTTCACAATATGTGGATGTTGCATCTCTCGCAGGATTTTTACTTCAGCTACGAGAGCTTGTAGATCATCTGTTGTTAATTGGGCACGTTTAATACATTTAATAGCAAACCGTTCATTGGTTTTCTTGTGTGTAGCTTCACGAACAACTGAGAAAGTACCAGCTCCTAATTCTTTTCCAAGTTTATAAACATCGGCAAAGGTTTTATCATCTTCATGAGCTGAAATTTCTTCAAATTGAATCGCTACTGGAGGAGGAGGTACGAGGAATCGCACCACACGTTCAGTATTACTGGTACTGACAAGAATTTCACGGATTTTCTCAAAACTCCAGGAAGCTGAAGCGTCTGTAAAGTCATAAGCATTTACACCCAAAAGAAGCGAATTGGGACCGATCTCGCCTTGATTTTCAAGTGTACCGGGTTCACCTGAAGTGCCAACGGGACGAAAGCCATCGACAACGACGTGACCTTCACCTATAGAGCTTTTACTGACGATAAGACCTAAAGGACCAGCAGGAACGATGACGTCGACACGTTTCCAGTGGGAACGATCGGGGGCCATTAGATTAGGATGAAATAAAGAGCTAATAGATAGCTAAGTTCGGTATGGGATACTTAAATGAGGTATGAAAGAGGGTGTTTTAGATGTGGAGAAGGGGTAGTAAAGGATACTTTTGTGAATTGAATGTGCTTGTAAGTAAGTGTATAGGGCGGAAGATGGATTTTTGAAAGAGCGATGGATAATATACATACTGTACGTACGTACAGGTTTTTTGACATTTGGCAAACAATGTACGATGGAAATTTGATGGAGAATATCCATTGTAAGCGGCTACGGGAGGAGACGAATTGGAACGCTGAAGCAAGTCACGAGCTGCTGAGACTGCGCTTTCAACAATTGAGGGACTTATTTGATAATGCGCAGACGGTGGCAGATGTGCATGAGGCCTGGGGCGTCGTAGCATCGACGCTTAGTAAGAAGACGGACTATAGACTGCAAGTGGATGCGGTCCAATGTAGCGACCAACTGACGAAACTTCGAAAACAGTGGCAACAAAGCAGCAAGAATCAGTTGCATGTGATGATGGCTGAGTGTTTTAACAAAAACATTGTCGAGTCTCAGCAGCAGCACGAGTCAATGCAGCATCTTCCACAAGTAAAAAGTAATTTCAATAAAGCAATGGAAGAAGCCTTGATGCAAGAAGCAGAGGAAGAAAAGACAGTTGAAAGTGGGCTAAAAAGGAGCAAGACAATGGCAGTACAAGAGGTAGAAGAAGTTTCAGTGTCATCACTGTCAGATCAAGCTGAGACTTTGTCGTCTTCGGAACCGATTCTATCGTTATCAGACCTTACTTGTCCAACAAAGCATGATATGGAGTCGTCTACCGTTGGTGTGCATGAAGATCGGTTATTACCGGCACATGAATCTCTTGAGATATCTCCTCAACCAGTTTCAAGTCTATTACAAGAAACTCTATTGTCAGTTGTCTTGGATGAAGAAAAAGAATTCTATCGACATGGTGATATTATGCGTGCACTGGAGAAACGATCCCTGCAGTTTGAACGACTGGCTCAATCTCATAAACATCTCGCTAATGTGACCGAACAATTAATGGACGCTCTGGTCAATCGCAACATTGAATTAACGTAATTCAAATATATGGGTCTCTCTATAAGAACACACACAATAAAACACTTGTTGTATTATTCCCCACAATAGGTTTTTTATTGACTGGGGCTCGATCCAATCAGTTTATCGTCATGTTTAAACGGTTTAGTGTCGATGAGCACGTAAGCACGAGCAGCAAAGTCAAGTCCTCGCAACAGCGTAGTATCCGCTCAAAGATAGTGGAGAAATATCCAGAGTTGGAACCATATGCCGAGCTGCTTATGCCAAAGAAGGCACCAATGGTCGTAGCCAAGTGGTCCGTTAGTATTTGTCTGATATATCAAATTATGGTTGTTATACGTATTGATAGTGTTGTTATACATGACACTAGCCACAACCACATTCAGATCGTGTTGCATGAAGGTGAACCCATTTTCTATAATCAGCGTGATGGACCCTTCATGCCGACGCTCAAACTACTTCATAAGGGTAAAAACGTACTGCAGTCTTTATCACTATTGGAACAAGAAAAAGCTAATAAAAATTGTATTTGGGGATGAAAGTGCCACATGTTATGAAACAAGTTCGTGCTGACAAAGGTGCAATTCCATTTGTGCTCTCGGGTGCGAACGTTATGTGCCCCGGATTGACATCGGCTGGTGGTGACATGCCCGAGTCTCTGGAGGCTGGGACTCCAGTGGTATGTGCAAGAACTTGATCTATTATTTGGCTGAGAGGCTGATCTTGATGCTTGATTGACTGTACATGTACATAGGCTATTATGGCAGAAGGCAAGGAGCACGCCATGGCAATTGGCATCCTTACAATGTCTACTGATGATATGTACGTGTGATTTGATTTATAAATTCATGTAAGGAAGAGTGTTAATTTTGTATCGGCAGCCGGAACACGAACAAGGGCGTGGCTATTGAGATGGTGCATTTTCTCGGCGATGATCTCTGGACGTGCTCACACATCGATTAGAAAACAAGTTGGTCAGAAAAGGCTTGTTATTCATTTTCAAACGAAAATGGTGGCCTCGACGCATTGTGATCTCAAAATGTTATTCATCTAAGGCTTTACTGGTGCAATAACTTCTGATCTTAAGTAGTAGTGAAGCTGCTATGCTTTGTCCAGGATGTTTTCAGATGAAATCAGTGATCGCTCAAGCCGTGCCCGCAATGCATAACTGATCTCTCTGCTAATTTCCGAGCTAAAAGTTGCATCTTCGCTAGTGTTTGGTACGGCCCTGTGCAGCTTCCAGTCAAAGTTGTGCGTATTGACGTTCGCAGCAGCAGGTTGCAGCTCTATGCCTCCTCCCATAAGCGAGTTTCCGATCGTGAAGGCTGGTGGACTACTCGGTGGTGGGCCTAAATCGACCGCCCCGTTGCTTACTGTATCCTGGATAGTGTGTGAAGAAGTAGAACTTGTGTCTGATGTGGGGCAAGACGCCGTCATACTCATGCTTTTGCCACTACCACTATCCTCGCTGGCCGAACTTGTGATTGAAACTAGTCGTCTATCCAGGCTAAGATGCGTCTTTAGCCCAAATTTCGGTACGCTGTTCAGGTCTTTGGCCGTCTCATTTCCTAGGTTGATCAAACTCGTCAATGACCCTGGTCTGTCCAGGCTAGGGTGTGTTCTTGGAAGGTCCAGCATCGACATGCTTCCGCCCGTAAGTGAGTTTTGGAGCAAAAACGATGGAATGGCATCCGGTGGCGGTCCAAGCGCGGTAACTGTGGCCTTAGTGCTATCCGCCATATCGGACACGTTGTTGCCTTCAACATTTACAGGAAACTTGGAATAACTTGGATGTTGAATTCCACCTCCCAAGAGCGAATTCTGTACAGTAAGAGATGGAGAAAAATCTGGTAGCGCCCCTAGTCTTGTCTCTGTCGAAGTGTTTCCATTGTTGTGTGTTGTCGCATAGAAATTTGACGGCTCAAGTCTGTAGACGCGAGCGCTGCTGTTTGTACTCTCACTCTCGCGATGCTTGTCATTTTGCTGATTCACGCTTTGACACGCTGATGACGCACGTCGAGCATGGTCAATCGCTGTCTGCAATGCAGACAGTGGATCAAACCAATAGTTTTTCATACCTTCGTTTGTCCTGCTGTGCGTCGTATCCGATGTTTTTGCCAATGTCGTCGTAATAGTCGAAGATGCCGAAATGTTGCTAGCGGCAGCATGTTCACCAGCTGAAGATAAAGTCGACGGTTGCACACGTGCACCCGTAGATAATTCATTCAGCGCAGAGCGATACAATGCTGAGGACGACGCTAGCTGGTGTAGCGCCGACGTTAGTCCGATGGTCTGGTCTTCCAGCTGCCCTGCACACGACGACGTTTCTGCTGGTTGTGTCCCTCCTACTGGAAGGCTGTGAAGTCCACTTGATCCTGAAGAAGGGAAGTACGATCGCAGTAGTTCGCTCAGCACCTCTTGTCCTTCAGTATCATTGCGGACAAGCAATTGATTCATCTTTGGCGGTAGGTCTACGCCTTTTTTATTCTTCGTATAGAATCTCACGTCCGGCAATTGTGATACAGACTTCGATGTTGTAGATGACGTCGACTTGGTTGTTCCAGAAGCTGCAGATTCCTCTGTGGACGAGGTCGCACGGGTCCTCATCGAATCATCCATGGAGCTACTGTGGCCACCTCTCTGCTTAATAGGTTGACGAAACTGCGGCTCATAGAAAATGGGTACATGTTTCCTATTAGGTCTTGGTTTTGGTGGTGAGTCTGAGATTAATTGTGGTTGTCTCGTTGCTCGTCGTTTTCTTGTCTTAGTGGACGTGGTAGAGGACAAAGTGTCCACCCCATTGTCTACAGGTTTCTGATCTTGTCGTAGGATCTTCACCTTAAGTGTCCCACTCTCGACTTTGGCAGTAAAAGTGTTTTCTTTGTATTTGACTTTATTATCGCCTACTAACGCAAGAGAAGGAATTGAAAGTTAGGACGAGAAATAGGACGTCAGGTTATGGTTTGAATATGAAATTGCTATATAACAAAGCAAAGATCAAGAACGTGGAGATATGTATGCAATAGAACGTACGATGTAGTGCAGAGCAGAGCGATGTCCCAGCCGCAGATTCATCCATGCTAACGATATTTGCAGAATGATGGTGATTGAAATCGATGTGTCACACACTGAAGCGATTTTGTACGACATCCAAGATTTAGCCTTCACCCTTCGCGTATACTTCACTTCTTCTATGTACGCTGATATAGTGCCTCGTATAATTTGTATTGTGACGTGCTCGAAGTCGAATAGGCGCATTGACTGTCAAATAGTCGCTTTATGTGTTTGCTGTTGGAGGAACAAAGACGTCTGATAGACTCACATGAACGCTGCGTGGGTGTGAGCAGCTGCAATTTATCTGGTGTGGAGAACATTTTACCAATACTCTCATCGCTTTCCTTTCTCTGGTGGGGACTGTGTTGGCGGATCTTAATTTCAGCTGTTCGAACACTGTCTGACGATTTTATAGTACGAAGGAAGTCGCGCTCTTTTTATCCCGTCTGCGTAGAGATTAGTAAAAAAGCTGCATGGAGATGCTAATGTGCTTACATTGGTTCCAGTTTGGAGCGCAAAAGCTTGCTGCAATTCGTAAGAATACAAAGTGAGTATGCATTGCGCTGTACACTTCCTGATCAATTATTAATAATTGTCGCTTGCGGAATTGTAACATTAGCTCATTTAATGGTATTACTGCATGTCCTTCGTGACGAACAGTATTTCATACTCCACTTACGATCGCAAGCATATTCATGTCTTTAAATTAGAATCATGACGTCGTTTATCAGAGTATTCGGCCTGCTCTCCTCTGCGCTGTTTTCCTCTTGCTAGAAACAAAGGAGGCCCATCCTAATGAAGCCCAATGTTATAGTGTGCTGAATATGGTGAATAGCCGTCATAGCTACTCATGCTTCAGTGCGTGTTTACGCGTCTGTTTAAAGCTCTTCATAGCCCGTGACGTCTTGGTGATACGAATGAACCAATCTACAAAGCACATGGGCATCATAATCGCCACGACTTCGAGGACACTAAGAACGGACGGCAGTAGAACTCGCCACTGGTTTCTGCGTACAGCTTTGACAGTTTGGTCCGCCACAAATTCAGGCGTCAACCACTGTGTGAATAACGGGGGACTCACTCCTTCAAACATCCCGGTTGCAATGAATCCAGGACACACGATGGTTGTACGCACGCCAAAATGGCCCATAGCGTGCAGCTCCTGACGTAGACTGAGCATGAGCCCAATTGCAGCAGATTTGCTTGCACCGTAGTCCACCATTCCAGGAGACCCAAAGATTCCTGCAGCACTAGCCACTGACACAATGTGCCCCTTGTCTCTCTGTATCATCATCGGTAGAAAAACTTTAATGGACCAAAAATGTGACATTGCATTCACTGCAAATGTACGCTCGATCATGACGTCCGAGGACTCGAGCAAAGGGCGACCATTGACAATACCGGCATTATTAATTAAGAGGTCGACTGCTTGATACTTGTCCAGTATTTCATGACCAATCGTATACACTTTGTCTCGATCTGTCACGTCTATGTTATAAAATTGTGCGGTACCACCAGTTGCTTGAATCTGGTCCACCAATTGATGACCTAACTCGGTGTGCATGTCCCATATCACGACAACAGCCCCAAGTGAAGCGAAACGAAGCGCCAAGAGACGTCCGAGACCCATGGCACCACCAGTGATGACGACGACGTCACCTTTGACGGGTTTTTGAGGCCAGATCCAATTGAACATGGTAGGATGAGGTCAAATATAATGGACGCGAGGAGGTGACGTCGTGGTAAAGAGAAGTTGAAGTTGCGTGTCAAGAATATTTGGGGTAGGATAATAGAAGAATAGGGAGAGATGACCTCTTTCAGTGGGATATTGGATTCAACTACCGCCAGAGTTGACGTGTTTTCAACGTGCAAATCACTAAATAGGTCCGTGAAACCGCAATATTATATTGCTGTGATATAACAGTGACGTCCCCAGAACATCGACACAACTGCAATAAAACTGACAAACATAATATGTGGGTCAACCCGCTTGCAAACCCGTGTGTAAACCCTACAACCTCCCTACGTCTTCTTTATCTCTTTTCATCCAATAATATACTCTTATTTTTCCCTCGTAAGCTATTGCTCTCTTAGTCCTAATTAGTAGCCAAAGGCCCACCGCAGCCCGCGCGCATCCATTCCTCTCTCTCTTTCTCCATGGTGGACTCGGATCTGAGCTCTGGATCATGCAGCAGCTCCAGCTCTGACTCTGTCTTGATACGCGTGCCGCTGGATCAGAAACGACGCAAGAAATTGCGTGCGCAGTTGCAAGAAGACCAGCGTCGGCAACGTGAACGTCAGTCGTCTTTTGCGGCTTCTTCAAGTCAAAAAGCGCGCTCGAAGCCACTCAAAACTGAGCCAGACATTGAAAGGATTAAAGTAAGCTATCTTTTGTCGTTTGCCGGATGTTTAAACGTGTGTTTTAACGTAAGAATTGATGTTTTTTAATTGTGATTAGGGTGAGCACATTTGCGTCGTCTGTGAGCAAGAAGGTGACGATCTCGTCGTTTGTGTGGGTCCCTGTATCTCCGCTTTTCATGTGGACTGTCTACCGACCAATAGCGGTGCTGTTGAAGCTCAGAATGAGGCCTGGTTGTGTCCAAACTGCAAGAACAAGACCCACGCCTGCTTTCATTGCAAACGGACGGGTATTGAGATGCTAGCAGACGATACACCAGCCACAACGAGCTCTGAATCTATAAAGAGACCCGTTCGTAAATGCCGTGCACTGTCATGTGGTAAATTCTACCATCAAGAGTGTATCACACAGTTCCCATTGGCCAGAATCGCTATCAACACGCATTTCATTTGTCCATTGCACACGTGTGCAGGCTGCAATCAATCGGGTGCACAACAAGAAGCTGTGAGGTGCATGAGGTGTCCGGTGGCTTATCATGCGCGTTGTTTGCCGTCGAACTGTGTGCGGCAGATCTCGTCCAAGTTGATTATCTGTCCGAAACATGGAGGGGGATCGATAGATACAGAGAACAGGATAGAGTGTGATGGTGTGGAGAATGAGGGAAAAGTGGCGATGAAGAATACGGTGTATAAGCACGTGAGTGACGTGCAAGTGCAGCAGACAGAGAATGAGGACGAAGTAATGTCAGAAGCATCGGTCGTCAGTGTGAGCAGTGCGAGGAAGAAGGAGAAGAAGCGAGAAAAGCGTGACAAGAAGAAGAAGAAGAAGAAGAAAAAGAAAGACAAACATGGTGGACATAATGACAATAGGGATGAAGATGGTGGTGGAAAGAAGCGAAAGCGAAGCAAGAGAGAATCACTGGAAGCAAGTGGAAGTAGTAATTGTCAGCGTGCGGGTATGGGTAGTCCTTTGACTCCGTCTAGCCGCCGCACGGGCCTTACAGTCGCTACATCATCTATTCGATCTGCAGAAGCACGGGCATCTAGATCACCGACGTCGTCATTGGCGCTTTTTGATAGTCCTACGATGGCTACTAAGCGGATACAAGAGCGTCTGGAAGAGGCATTAGGACAGAGCGACGATGACGATGATGATTCTGATTCTGATGCCTCGATGTGCAGTCCCTTGTTAAAGAAGAAGCGCTCTAGCTATCATAAAAGTAGCAAGCAGAGAGATTTTCGATCGATGTCTCTAAGTGCGAATTGGGTCGTGAAGGAGGAGCGCTCTGGTTCGGGTGCATCATCGATGATGGACCAATATGAAGCCAACGAAGCGACCAAATACCTAGTTTCTTCCTCTCCGGTGCCAGTAAGCCCATCGGGTGATAGAAACTCATCAGCAGCTCGATCGTCTGCAGAGGAGGATACACCACGGTCGAAAGGCAAACGTAAGAGAGATCGGCAAGCAGGATATAAGGAGGATGCTAGCGTTATCCTGGAGCAACTACAATCTACTGAAGGTACTATGAAGCTAGAAACTCCGAAGTCACCATCATCCAGTGCACTTATCCCATCGTCATCGAGTGTTGCGACAGCAAGCTTGGTGCTCAAACATATACCTAGTGAAGACGATGATGACGGCAATGAAGGTGCTGCTGAGTCTGCGACGTCGCCTGCGAATGCAACACTAAGGACCGTTAAGGCCAGCAGTTATAGTAAGAAGAGGAGGAAGTCTAAGGCAAAACGAGAAGTACAGCGCGTGCAAAGAAGGGTATCTAGTGAAGAGGAGGAAGAAGAAGGGACCGAGGCGAAATGGGTCCAATGCGACAGCTGCAAGAAGTGGCGGACAGTGCCGAGAGATTTTGATTTGGATGCCATGCCCAAGCACTGGTACTGCAACATGAACACATGGGACGCACGATTCGCGTCTTGTGCCGTTGCTGAGGAAGTGGTTAAGGAAAACCTGTCTCCTCAAGCAGGCAAGAGAAGATACAAACTCAAGAATTCCAAATCTGCAGCACGTAGTGCAGGAGATGACGGTGGCTACTCTTCCTCGGAATCAGGTCCCTTGAAAAGGTGCGGAGGATCTTTCAAGAAATCGATTTCCGACATGACTATGCAAGAAGAAAAGGATAAAAGCTCTAGGTCGAAAAACAAGGACAAAACGACTAAAAAGCGCAAGATTACGAAACAAATTAAGGAGAAATACCGCGAGGTCAAATGGGTCCAATGCGAGAGCACACAATGTGGTAAGTGGCGCATCGTCCCAACATCGATTGATTTTGATCGGTTGCCAGCGGTTTGGTACTGCCATCTCAATACTTGGGCTCCTGATCTAGCCAAGTGCAGTGCACCCAACCCCGCGGAGGTTGATGTGTTTTTGCTAAAACAGACGAAGAAGGAAGGCCGCCCATCCAAAAAAGCAACACGGGCGTCTTTATCGACAGGAGACGCAGCATCAGCAATATCTGTGTCGATTGCTTCGGTTGCTTCGGATGTTTCGGGTGTTTCGGGTGTTGGCATGACACCGACATCTCCTGTTAGTGATTTTACAAACCTTGGCAAATTGAAGCACGGAAAAGGCTCAAATGTGGCGTTGTCAGGGTCAGGAAATGTAGTGTCAATTATGGAAGGAATCAAGAACGGCAATAGCAACAACGTAGACGGCGGTGGTGTAGGTCACTCTACGAAAGGAAGAGGAGCGAGGGGGCACAATAACAATAGCAGCGGGAGTTCTAGTGGCATCAAGAAAACAGTGCTGGAGTGGGCTCAGTGTGAAAAGTGCAACAAGTGGCGCAAGTTGCCACAACATATTAAATCATCGACTCTACCCGATAAATGGTACTGCTCAATGAACCACTGGGATCCAACACATGCTAAATGTAGCGTACCGGAGGAAACAGATCAGGAGCCTCTACCTCTGCCACCTCACCCGGGTTCGCAGTGGCACAAGGGAGGACACAAGGGCCAGCGTCCTAGACGAGGCAAGCTGAGCTATTCGGAACTGCTGTATGGTAGTACGGGGCAACTACGGAAGGCATACACGGAAGAATCTTCTATATTGTCTTTTGAGTACGAAGGCGTGACATACCATCGCGATGGTCAGTATAAACACAGCAGCATGTATGTGTCTCCAGCAGCGATGGAGGCGGCAGCTACGATGGCAGGGTGGAGTGGCAGTGATCGAGTGAAGCGAGAAACTACCTGCAGTCATGACGCTGCAAGGGGCAGCAGTTTAATGATTAGTGCCGTATCAGCAGTGAATTCTCAGGCGAGTGTCGATCATGTGGCTGCATTAATACTTGAAAGTATGGATTTACGTCGACGTCGCAGTGTTTCAGAGCTCTTCAATGCTGTCAATTCAGGAAACGTTGCATCAGAAACTGCTCCGACTGGCCTCGCATCGTTGGCAGTCGTCACTGCTGCTTTGGGTCAACTGGAACATCGTGGCTTGGTCGTGAAAGTGACCGAACTATCCTCGGATAACGAAGAAGATGAGCCATCTAGAGCAGAGGCGCTTTTTCATGGACCATTTTCTTTGCCTACTCATTACCGCAAGGTGCCTACGAGGCCTTTGAAAGCTTCTAAATTCTGGAAGTTTGGCACCAACGTTGTGGCGCTCTCACCAGTAAAGGATGCGTAACGCAGTGGCTACATGGCGTAGATTATGTCGGCCTTAAAAAAGTCGAACAGAACAATTAAATATAAGTGGGCTTTATATATTAGATGGACTAACAATTATGTTACGAAGACATGAATTATATTAATTTGTTTGGAATACTTGAAAGAACATAATTTTAATTGCACGAAATAAATTGGACACTAGTCATTATAAATCAATTAATTAAATACTAGGAGATAAGTGCGATTAACAGCCAATCATCATCACCAGATAAAGTCTGAATCAGGTGCATCAAGGCTCATGGACGACAGCGGTCTTGTTGAAGTGGAGGTAGAGATTTCTCCTGGTCCTTTAGGAATTATCTTGAACAAAGACACTCTAAACCTCCCTTTTCTCAAAGATTTTACAATGCTGTTACCATCAGACCCATTACAGCGCGGGGCAGTAGAGCTCAGTGGTCGAGTACCGGTGGGTAGTCACTTTATCGCAGTGAATGATTGTAATTTCATCGAATCAGATCTGAGTTTCGAAGCAGTGAATCAAATGCTGCGTGAGACAAGTCACTTGCAACGAACGTTAAAGTTTTACGTTCCAGAACACTTAAAAACCGAGGAGAGCAACAAAATTGTGTCTATAAGTCATCGATTTGTATCCAAGAGAGACTCGCGATCAAAAGGAGAAGAGAGTGAGGGAGAAGAATCTGATGACAATGTTCAGTTGCATTCGAAGCAAGTGACTCAGACGCAGATGAGCAATAGCAACTTGTTGTTGACTGAGCCATTATCACCCAGGAGAGGGTCATCACTTAAAGAGAAAGAAGACGAAGAATTTGAGGAGGAAAAGGAAGAACCTGAAGAAGAGAAAGAAGAGGTCAAGAAAATGATGACTGAGACGGTGTGTACGTCGGTACAAGATTCGACAGATGAAAGGATTGTGACGGAAGCACGAGTTGGACGCGTTCTGGTTCGAACTTGCATGGATCGTCTAACTTGCCCATGGCAAGCAATGTCATGGTTGAAAAAGTACAAGAAGAAGTGCCTACTGAGCAACCGCTGCAAATCTCATCGAAGGATTTACAGCCAACATCACCTTCTCCTCATAAGCTGGTGCTGAAAATCGATAAACGTCCTCCCTCGCTGCCGACGAAATTGTCGTTTGGTACGATGGCAGCTCTGGCAGAAACTCGCCATTTCGATAGTGATGACTCAAGTGACGATGAAAATGATACCGACGGAGGGATGGATACAGATAATCAAGGGAGCAGCAGGGATGTAAGGTGCAAACCTTTTGATGATGTCGACGCAGCGTATGTGACTGTAGTTGCTCCTCCTGGTCCATTGGGACTTAACTTGGACGGTGATGCAATGGATCGCGCTGTTGTACTGGGGTTTGCCAAGTTGCGTGACGGATCCAAAGGCCCATTGGAGCGCAATGGAAATATTGTATATGGGTCGGTTCTTGTTCGTATCAACGGGGAAGATGTTTCACGCGCATCGCTAAATGAAGTGCGTATGAAACTAAACGAGCTAGTTCAACGACCTCGCACCCTAGTGTTCCGTCTGCCAGACAGAAAACAGCAAGACTGCCCTCATGTATCGCGTAACCCTGCCTTGCGACGAGTGCCTTCGCTCCCTCTGCTTGAGGAAGATTTCGACAAACGCCGAAAGCTTGAGCTATCGCTAGTGATGCACTATGACAAGCCAGTTCTAAGCCGTCGCGAATGCTGGTTCTGTGTTGACATCGAATGGATGGCTCGATGGGTAAACTTTGTTGCTCGAGGTGGGCCTGAACCAGGTCCGATCACCAACGAAGTATTGCTGCACCCAAACTGGCGCAAGATGTTAGCTCACGATACTCCTGGTCGACCTGACACAGCGCGAGATGGATTGGTTCTTTTGAAAGATTATCGGGTGGTATCACCGATGGTATGGTGTTTGTTGGCTGAACTGCATGGTCCAGGTGAGGCACCCTTGCTTGCACGCTACACTATGGACATCCACGCTGAAGCGCTGAGCGACAGAGAGATACGCCTTATAATCGAAGTGCTGCTGCTCAAAGCTACCGTGCTTGTGAATGACCTTCGTGACAAGTGTCTTGTTCGTTCAAGCAAATAGCGCTAATATCGGTAACACATGTGCATCCTGCTGTTGTTGTTGGCCTGCCTATCGAACTCGTACGAGGATTTAACATTCTTCCTGTCTCGTGTATAGTAGAGGATAAAGCTTCATCACCGCACGGATGCCACTGTCAAACATTGTTTTGTGAGGCGAATAAAGATGTAGATCGGAAACAGAGTTTCACTAACTTACTAGATTACCAATTTTCTATTACAGTCATCCGTTCGGTATCGCTGCGCGCTTAGAGTACAGTATTTGCATGGTTTTCGATTTGGGCTAACTTTTTGTCGATACAACCAGAATTAAAGAATACATGTAGCGGGGCGTTTTTTTATGGCGAGTATTTGATCTATCACTTTATTAGATAAAAAATTGCTGAAGGCCGTTTTTAGCGTCTTCGGGACCAGAAAAAAATATTCAGCAAGTATCAGTAAAGGCAGTATCATTTTAGGCAAGCTTTTAAGCTCTTAGCCAAGCGTGCATACCGGTACTGCTACTGGTATTGTATCAAACAAACTCAATAAACCCTCTATCGTGGTTTTTTATTCAAATACATGTACCACATACAGTACTGTACCCTATAAATTTTACTTCGTCAAAAACATACAAATTTCTAAACTAGCTAACAAGCAAGAGGGATCTATTGATGATACTGGACAAAATTAAGTACATGTCGCTTTTAAATCGTCAATTTGAAATTCCAAAGCATAGACACAATGCACGCCACGCTCAGATCGTCATAGCAGCTGGTGCGTTGCTAAAGGGTGTAATGGCAGACTCTTTTTACAGTAATTATGACATGATACTATCGATCATGTAGATAGATACAATAATTTCAACAAATTTAGTGTCGGCGGCCTTCAGGACGTGCAAGTAAAAGCTGTTTTCATACTAAAACCACGACATTACACATGTTGAATACTACGGAAGTCCATCTAGCACTTCATTCCGTACCCTTGCGTGTCTTGCCTCCTAGGACAAACGACATTTCTGACCTTGTACTTGAAGTCTTATGTATAAACGACCTCATACTAAGACCCCACATCAATGCTTCATTACTTCTTATCAACATCATCATGCAGATCATTGCTGTTACCACGATCGTCACCTGTGCACTCGTCATTGACAATGTCATCGCCGCTGAAGACCAACACGCTCCATGGGGATACAAAACCAACGATACTAGAATGGCTGGACCCAACCAGTGGACCACAAACTACCCCATGTGTAACGGTCAGCGCCAGTCACCCATTGACATCCTATCGACGACCGACAACAGCTTCCACAAGCGGTCACTTACTTTCAGTGGTACGTGCAACAACTTCAACGTGACGCAGTCGGTGGATTCGGTCTTTATGAGCGTGAATGGGGGCACGTGCATCGTCACGACAAACGGCACGTCGTACAACTTGAAGCAATTTCACATGCACGTGCCATCGGAGCACACTCTAAATGGCAAACACCTGGACGGTGAGATGCACTTTATCCACAGCAATGAGAAAAATTCTACACTACTAGTCATGGGCGTGTTCCTCACTGCTGCAAAGGACAAGAGCGATCCCTGGGTTGTCTCTGTCTTAAATGCAATGGATCAAGTGAGTGCAAATGTGACGGTATCGACCTCATTGGCGCCTTATGCCAACCTCATAAACAAGGTGGCGGATATGCAGGGCGTATTCAATTACGCAGGCAGTTTAACGACGCCTGCATGCGACGAGATTGTGAATTGGTGGGTAGTGAAGAGACCCGTGGACGTGACGACAAGTGACTTATCCCGCCTACAATTTCATTTGCGTCAGCTCAACACCACGGATGACGGTAAGAATGCACGCCCCGTGCAGCCATTGAATGGTCGTATCGTAACGATGTGGCTGTCATAAGGATGTCGAGCTTCGTATCTAACTTTCACGTCGTTACACAACTGTAAAGGGATATTTGTAAAACTTGCAGGTCACAGTTGAATACTGAAACCTTGTTGCTATGACTGAATCGACATGATCGATCGACATTACGCTGATCCGGTACGACTAGATTCGATTCGAATCGAAAGATGGTGCTTTTTAATGCATTAACCGCCCAACTGTTGACATTCAAGTGATAGGTTTCACTCGTATGTATGCACCTGTTTGAAAATGCGGGACGTCGGTTTACTAATACAATTTGCTCCATGGAGTCGAGAGCATGCTGGGGATAGTAGAATAGTTCTAACGTCAATCATGATCTTACAAACCATATATTCTAAGCGTCTTCAATAACTATTAACATGGTTTGCAGATTACGACCATTATGCAAAACTCGTAAGATTACTCGGCAGCTTAACAGTCATCTCACAATGTTCGATTAATCAGTTGCCAGGTCTTATATTACCAAACGATACGTGTCAAGTGTTTTTGATCAGTCAGTCTTCTTCTCTTCGTTGTCAATGGCAGATGAGCTCGAAGAGCTACCGTAGATTCGGTTGTAACGGTGACGCAATTCGTCTCTGCGTCGCTCCGCCTCAGTCTGTGAAGCTGATGGTATCGTTGACTCCATAGGAAGCGAAGGTGTAGCAGCAGTTGACGGAAGAGTTCCTTGTTGCTGACTTGACAAAGGGATCGGACGTTTGTCTTCTAGCTCCTCTTCCAAGCGTCCTGTGTCTGCAGTGGCTCCATCTGCCATCGTTGACGAATGCACTGCAGCCGATGTTGAAGCTGCTTGGGCTGGAACGCTCCTTTGCGGCTGAACTGTTTGTACGGAGGGCGCTACGACCGGTTGTTGCGGCACCGTGTGAGTCTGAAGAGGAGCACTAAACTGTGCCGCTGATGCTTGCAGTACCGCCAGTTGGGCATGCAGGAAGTCAATATGGCGTCGAATGCTGTCTGAATCCATGGCTGGCTGTTGCATACCTTGCTGCGACTGCGGTGGCATTTGGCCGACCGGAGGCATGCCCAGCATCATGCCGTACGGTCCTGGCACCCCATAACCATAAGGCAGCCCCATTCCAGGACCAAACATCATTGGTGACATGTACGGATTTGGATAACCAGGAGCAAATGGATAACCAGGAGCAGCAGCAGGAATGCCATCAGGAGCTGGAGGCGTCGCGGCTTGAGCAGTTCGTGCAGGCGTTGCCGCATCAGAAGCGCCGTGTTCATTTGGTGGAGGAACTACACGTTCAAAGGCTACCCCAAAACGGAAGCGAGGAGCAGCCGGCGCAGCACGCGGTTGGCCCTCAGCTCCTGCTGGTGCTGCTGGTCCAGCTGCAGGTCTTCCAGCATGAGCTGCTGGTCCTCCAGGAACGGTAGGGGTGGGCTGACGCGACTCCGTCGGAATATTGGAGCGGCACGTAGGGCATGTCTGCTGGCGTTGCACCCACATTTTGAGACAGTCGACATGAAAAATGTGCGAGCATGGTAACTTCTTGCATGCATCAGGAATCATTTCTTCACGACATATGATGCACGTCCTATCCGTTTCCTGAAGTTCCTCCTCCGTCGGATTTGGAAAGCGCTCATTCAGATTCGCAGTAATTTTTCTGTAGCGGAAATAAGACGCAATGCGTCGCTGCAAATTCTTGATGGAAACCCAGAGGTCACGCACAATGTGTAGCGGCATACCATAGTACGTGAAAATGAGCATGAAGAAAATCTACGTACGTCGATAGCAACAATACATACGCATATCCACAATGAGTATTCAGCCACAAGTAGCAGCAAAAGTTACACAATCTCAGAAACAACGGTCGTACCAAGTATACAACGAGCTTGGTAATCTCAGACACGAGCTCTAAATAAAAGAGGTATGTAAACTTGTTGGTCCAGGTGCCGTCCATCCGGGAGTCCACCACGTACAGCACATAGCGTAGAAAAGTAGCTGCAATCGTCACCAGTAAGATCAAAAACTACACATAAAAAAGCAAAAAAGACTGTCAGATCAAGTCGTAACATATTCCTCCACACTATTTTGCTGCCTCACCTCAAATCCAAAAAGGATACAGACCGAAGGCCCAGTCTCCATGACTTTCAGCGAGCACCACACTACAAAACCCAAGTCTACAGCTGAAAGCAATGCCATAAGTCCCACAAGTCGCACATGCGTAAGTCTCGATAAAATATCCGTTTGTTCAATCTACCACAACAAAAATCCGTCATAAAATAACCAAGAATCCAAATAAAATTATCAGGATAATAAACTCGATTACGTACAAACTCAATTCTGGATTGAGCGAGCCAATGAAATATCTTGAGAAACACCAGTGCCGTAAACAATACCATCACATGGAACGAGATCTCATCGCGAAAGACCGTAAGAGCTAGACACGTCTCCGTCACAGCATAGCGCACATTTTCGTGCAATAACTACAAATAATAATATCCAATCAGATATTATACGAGATAAAATCCAGGTTTTTTTTGCCTCGACATAATATCCAATCAGATATTATACGAGCTAAAATCCAAAGTTTTTTTACCTCGACTTCTGCATCTCGGAGGGTACCGAAAAAAACGAATTTTAACAATCGACCAAAAAGTGTCGTAAGTACGAGACCGGCATTGCCCAGTATTAAGACACTGATCTTCGAGGTTACAAGATAGATAACCGATGGATAAAAATGCTGCCTTGTAATATACGTATAGTAGAGAAGCCCTATACATGCAACTAGACTTGCACTTGAATAAAGCCAGAACTTCATCTCGATTATTATGAACGACGTGGCAGATAATGGATTTATGGATATTTATAAAATTAAAAGCGGGGAGTTTTTTACTAAAAAGAATTGAAATTTTCAACAAATTTAACTTTACTTTTACCGTTTTGATTGTATTGTTTGCCATATGAAATGTAGCCATACTGCAAACCTGAACATACCACCGAAATGTACAACATTGTCACAGAAAGGTGCAACAATTTCAAATGGCATCTCCTTTTAGGGCGTAGCATAGCACGAAGTAATTATCGTCTGCAGCAAGTACATGGGGTTTTCAAAAGAAGACGCGACGCATGATTCAAGACAATAGCAACATGCACCTTGTCGTAGCATTTGTCAAGGCTGTTAACATTTCTGTGACATGTGAGTGTCGATAAGATAGTCACGCATCGTAGACGGAACTTTCCAGCTCTCGTGAGCAGCATCAAGTAGTTGTCAATGACGGAGTCACAGATCGCGTCAAAGTCCGAGTCCAACACAAGCAAAACTAGCCAAATAAAGTGCCAATAGACTTGGAATTCTCATTGATCTTCTGCTCGCACAAGGCTTTACACACCACCATGAGCCAGCAATGCCGACAAAAAGAAACGCAGTGTTGTTTGGATGTTGCCAACTCCAATTTGAATGCCTGGGTGACGCATTGGAGATGGCTCGGCCGACAAGACTCGATCAAAAAATGACAATCCCATCACAAGAAATTCGGATGTAAATCTTTGATAGTGCGTCTCCACCCTAGAAACCAAACGAGGGGCTCTGATAATCGACGGGGTAGTCTTGGTACGCTTATGTACTCACGTGCATTGTGGCGGGCCTGAAATCGGGATACAAAGGCGGTGCTTCGCTGCATCCATCATCATGACGTTGAGCGGATCTGCTATCACAACTCAGTGCTTTACGCACCGGAGTTGCTCGTGGCTGCTGCGGCGAGGAAAATGGCAAGTGATGCTGGTCGATCGACACCGAACAAAGTGAATGCCATCCGAAACCATTGATAGATTGCGAACAAGTGTGTTTAAACGATAGGTGCTTACGGATAGCGCTACAATATGCCACTGGCCACGAGTGATTCTATCACGATACTCTCAAGCGCTTAAGTAAACTTGTAGTTCACGTAGACCAGGCAAAGTTGGTCACTTCGGGTGACTGAGTCACCATCTTCAGGAAGCAACTGAAAAGATAGCCACAGTCGTTGTTGCCTAAACACGAACCCGAACAAAACAAAGTCGCACCAGAGCTACTGTGCATTCGAACATGACTGAGCTGATACCCGCGCTCAAAACTTGTGATCCGTCCAAAGGCAGTTGTAATCATCCGGGTGCCAAATAGAGTGCACTCGTGGAAAATTGGTCAAATCTCGAAGTACTTTGCAGTCGACGGCTTGAGGAATCCAAATCGATTGTAGCTCCATCAACTTTGGAATACCCTCCAATGTCGTCAAAGGTGTGAGTCCGAGGTCTAACATTTCGAGACGCGTCAAGGTGGCCAAAGGAGTCGCGTCTTCAACCTTGGTCGCATTCAGCCATAAACGCCGCATCTTGTGCATTCCTGAAAGCGGTGCAGCGTCCTTAAAGTCCACTCGACCAGCTAGCGAGAGTTCTTCCAGTTCTGTGAGCTGCAAGAGACACTCGAAGCTCGTCTGATGATCCTTGTGTCGACGCGCTATCTGCCGCTTCTTACGATCAGGAAGGGACAGCACTAACTTTTTTAAGTTTACAAGTGTACCCAAAGGAGACAGATCTTCAAAAAGTACGTCTAGCAGCTCGAGTTGCGTCAACTGTATGAAACCCTCAAGAGGGAGAAGATCCATGACCTGCGCCGTAGGAGGCAGTGACATGGATAACCTCGTAAGTGCCGGCATTTCTCCCAGTGCCACAATTTGAGCCAAGTCTTCCGCACACCACTGTTGCAGTCGCAGGTGGTGCAATGTCGACGACAACAAGATTAGAGGCGCGTAGTTTGTGAGCGGTGGCAACTCCAGCGATCTTACTTCGCCTTGTCTACTCACACACTTGAGGAATGAACTAGGAACCCGGTGCTCCATGGGAATCGTATGTCCTCGCGTAGAGACGACGGTCGTTCCTCTCTCTTCAACATCTTCTTGTACGATGTCAGAAATATCGTCCTGATAGTTATGCTTGTACATTCTCAATTTTTTTAGTTTGTGCAAATGCCCCAACCACTCGTAATTCACTGATGGTTCTAGCACTGGAACCTCTAGCGTGTCGTCCGCTGGTACACCTCTCTCACGTGTGTCCAATAGCAGCTGCTCCAGTGATATCAGCGCAGCTAACGGCTGTCGATTTCCAACATGTGTCCAGCGAATATCCAAGTACGTGAGATTCGGTAAATTGGTCGCAAACTCAAGATCCGTTAGTCTCGTGTTTTGCAAGTGCAAAATTTCGAGTTCTGGGCACTTTAACTTTAACTCCAACAAATCGGATGCGCCAATGTTCGTCGCCTTAAGTGAACGCAACGCTGTCAAATGCTGCAGGACATTCAGATCCGTCGTTATCCAGTTTTTGCTTATATCCAGTGTCTCCAATCGTGATAATGTCTTCATTGCACTAAAATCCACAACTCTTGTCTCAGACACGTCCAGCACTTGCAACTCTGGCAATGCTTCAAGGCCTGAAAGTGTAGCCACATTAGTACGTCTCACACTCAATGACTGCAGATGAGGCAGCATTGCAAGTGGAGCCAAATGTACCACATCCGTCTCTCCCAAATCTAATATCCGTAAGTACCACTTTCTTGACTGAATCTCGTTACTCGGTACATGTTGCAGCTCGGATAGCGTAATATCTGCATCTGAGACATTCAATTCTTCAAGCTTGGGCAACAATTGAAGCACAGCAGCAACATTGATGACGTATTCATCTGGCTCGGGTTCATTATCCGTTGGAGTCCAATAGGGATAATCCCAGAACTGAAGTGACCGTAAAGCAGGTAAACCACGCAACAGATTAAGTAAATGCATGCCTGTACGTGGTACTTTGATGGTCGTAATACAATTAAGTAGTGTAGGTTTCATATAATGCAAAAAGGTATCCGCATAATAACTGGCGGTTGGTAATTTCTCTAAACTGCAGTTTAAACCCTTAGCTAATGGTGGCGGAGGCACACGAAGAACCCCTTGGGACAGAACAAAGCGGCGTAGATCCGAGTTGGCGAGTGAGCGACTGCATGAGGATAGAGATTGCCAGTCACGGAAGCACAAAAAGCCCACGACAAAGCGTAAGACGTCCGTTTTGCCGTCCAAGTCGCCCAGGACATTCTCCATTGCAAAAAATGAAAATATCCGGATGTTTTTCGACAATATCGACATCTTTTTTTAATGTACTTCACATCTTTATTGTAGAACTGTTGCCTACGCCACTTTTTAGTGCTATTGAGAATATCACCCCAAAAATTATCAAGAAAAGACCGGGGGAAACGTAAATTTACCATAATAACGGTAGGCCTAAAACTACAGTTTTTCCTTAGCGCAACTAAAGTGATATCCCGAGCTCAAGCAACTTTAACGACCCTATTACTTTATTCGATATCGATTACAAATCGGCAATGACGGGTGTCCGTTGCATGATCGCACCTGCAACTTTAAAAATAATGTCCGCTTTGTTGGACGTTCAGTCAAAAGTGACAACCGCCTTAAATTCATCCGCAAAAAAGTATGCGAAAGGGGCGGACGAATTCATCGCGTGCTCAGCCGTTTCGAGCCTTTGTCCATGCACGTAGCGAGATCGACCACGCTCAGAGGACGTTACTGAACCACGCTATCGCAAAAGAACACCGAAGCATGTTGTCCAAATTCTCCAATAGCCGTTTTTCAATCGGATGTTGTTGCACAAATTTGAGCATGTCTTGCTTGCTGAGACTATCTTCATTCTCACTTTTCCATTCGCCTCCCTCCTTTTGCAAAAGCGACTTCTTCAGCCAACCTTAGCTTTCTGTTTTTCTGAGCACTCATGGTCAACCTCAACGTATCACTAATTCTTGTCGCCATTGCCGTGGCACCAGTACTCGCCAACTACAGCTCCACGACTGCCGTGCGCGCCACATCGAGCAACGTGATTTCTCGCAACAGCGCTAATTCTTCCAGGATCATCAAAGCTATTTCTACTGAACACGGAGCCTGCAAGCAGGATGCCGAGATGCCTGATTCGTGCGATGGCAGCAATGGCTGGTACCCACTGTCCGTTGTCGGACGAGAAGGATACTACTGCACTCACGGTCCGATCTGTACTGGAGAGTTTGGAAATTGCCCTGGTCCGCACAATGACCTTATCTACGGATCGACCTGTGTATTCTTGACTGAAAGGATGCATGGATGTGTCCCCAACACTGAATGCCCGACGACCGGGTCCAAGGCGGACACACCGACAGCCTCCTCTATAGCTGATAATTGTATGATTACTCCCGACACGCCTAGTCATAAACTCTCACCTGTTAAATCTGAAGACACAACGTATACTCCCCCAGAGAACACTGGCCAACCAACTTTGCAAATTGAAGTTCCGGTGACGGCACCGCCTACACTTGACGTTCATAGCTCAAACTCTAATGACGGTACCGCCGACGTCGACGGAGTCAGGTACAAATTCTCTTCCGCTTACGATTGAAACCGAATCGCCTACTGAAATTCCGACGTTATACGCTACGTCTAAGCCTGAGACGCAGTCAGTCATCGAGGGAGAATTCAAAGAAACACAGCGCATTGTAGATGCTGGCGCTATAACGTATGAAATGACTTCCGATCCGAAGGCTGAATTCCCAGATTCAGAGGATGCGTCCGCAAGAAGCGAGACCCCATACAATAGAGAGTCAAGCGAGGGCCCTTTAGCTTCCACAAACACGAAAGACCTTGCTACTGTCGCTAGTGAGACCGATGCGCCTGATTCCGACGCGCCTGAGACCGATGCGCCTGAGACTGATGCGCCAGAGATTGAAGCCCTCACGATTAGTACCTTGAGTGCTCCTCGTCTTCGCCGCAACTAAAGATGAAAGAAACGCGAGAACGTTTGCTACTAGCAAAATTGCACGAGATGAAGGTCCCTACGCACGTCGTGCTTACTGTTTCATTCCGTCTACAGCTTTCCTTGTGTTACTAAGACGTATAATTTGCATTCAATGCACCCCTTACACCACTTTTTGTCGATTTAGAATCTGGTATCTACGAAGGCACCCTTGTGACTTGGATTCCATTCATAGTCAATATTATAGACAATGGAGACTAACCTGGTCCAACAGCACATGTTATAGGAGACCTTTCATGTAGCTAGGTAACGGAAAAGTTGCAAATTGAAGCAACCTCAAAAGTGTCAACGATAAGAGAAGTGCAATCGTAGAATCATCTTGTTCAGCATTCCTATTGTTTAGCCATAAAGCAAATTTAACCGCTAGTAAGTTTTGAAACCCGGTGTAGCCCATGCCAGATTCTTTGGACGTGAATACCACCTTGCACTTTAATGTGAGGTGCAAGACAAATATAGGCATAACGCCGGTACTCATGAAGACTAAAAGTATGGTTTATCACTTCGACACAGCGCCAAAACTGGTCGGTTCTCTGGAACGCAGCCCCGTCTTAGAGCCCCGTAGCTAAGAATGCCAAACTGATGCTACCCGAGTGGTTGCGAGGCCAACGCACTGGGTACGGACGTTTCCCTCACTGCCTTATAACGTTACGATGGCCTAGCATGTCTCCACTGCAATACATGCGCTTGTTGAGTGATTTTTCGTGTGACTTGATCTCAGTCAAACTGCTTCAGTCAGGGCGACCTCAAGTGTGGCCTCCTACGTGTCAGCAGCTCCTACGAACATTGAGGATATAGTCATATGACAAAATGATACTTTCAAATATTGGATCATAAACACAAGCAAACAATGAAGCGTTTCGTGTAAGTATAAGGCACAACATTCACCGCAGCCATTCCCTGCATAAGAGCTTGTACTGTCAGATCAAAACGATGTCTGATCATCAGTGCTTGCGTCTTCTTATACATACATCTATCGGACTATAATCTCAGCATCAAAAGATAACAAGTATGATGAAACCACACGAGTCGACTACGAACTCAAGAAAATTTGCAAGCTGTAGCACAAGGTCGAATCTTAATAACTCTTTGTCGCCAAAGAAATGACAGACTTACTCTCATTGTTTTCACACTGATGCTCGATCGTCATGTTTACGAACGGCAAGTCCAGCACAGGATGAGATGGGGTCATTTCGTGATCGTAGTCTAGCTGATACAGTCCGGAGCGATATCACAACGTCACTGATGATGAGGCGGCGTAAAGGCGGCATGGACCTGTCTAAACGCAGTATGCCTGCACCTTGCAGTGACACTACAGATCGGTCTTACCGCCGAGGCTATGTGCCTCCGACTTGCCCGCAAGCTCTCAGTGATGATGATGATTGCCTGACGATGCGTATGGTGGAGAGGATGCCATAAATTGCATGATATGACTTCAATCCACTCACTGTGCCGGACTGCCGACAGTCGGAGGAAGGTACCCCGATGCCGCGTATGGACCCTCTCTCACCTTGTGTGGCGGGTTGCACTCTTTGGAAGACTTGGTGAGGATGTAGATGTCTGCCTTGAAAGAGGTAGGCCTGGGGGATCTTGAGTGGACATGCTTCGCTTGGTGGACCACTAGGTGGCCACTCGATCGACCTAGTCGAGATCGGGATTAGAACCAAATTTTCAGGGAGCTTGTCGTCCCTGTCCTTTTCCTTGGTAGTCTCAGGGGTGTTAACCACCTGACCTTTACTTTTCCCCCGTACCGTGAGGTGAGGGAGACCGCTTCCGATAGCGAGTTTCTGGGGGGGGTTGCTACTAGAACGAAATCATAGGCCAAATATATCCTGGGGTTCTATTCGCACTTGAGTCTAACCACACGACTGTTTTCAACGGGGGGGGGGGCAAAATATATTTCTTCCCCGGAACAGGTGGGTCGATTAAAACAAGTTACTTATAGCGCGACGAAGTCGTGCCACGTGGGATATAGCTCGCACTTGAGTGTAACCACACGAATGTCTTCAATGGGGGGGGAATATATTATTTTTCAGAACAGGCGTGGGGTCAGACTCGAGTTTCTTTAAGCGCGACGAAGTTGTGTCACCTAGATCGCAAATTGAGTAGTTTTACATATATTACTATCCTTTAACTCCTTTACTCTATCCTTGCCTAAAGCCCTGATTCCTTGTGTCTACTTGTCTGATCCTTGTGTTGACTGGTCAGGAGTGGATGAACCTCGAGGGACACAGGACTACTGATGAGGGACCCATTTCTACTGATGAGGGACCCATTTCTACTGATGAGGGACCAAAGTCTACCGATGAGGGACCGAAGTCTACCGATGAGAGACCGAGGTGTACCACTGAGGGACCGAGTCTTCCAATGTTGGACCGGGCCTTCGGATGAAGGACCGGGTCGACTTCTTTCAGTACCATTTTATTGGTACTTTGATAATGATCTCCCCGGTCCATCGAATTATTCCCAGCCAGAGGTCGCTTACCCCCGTGGTCCCTTTTCTCTCCGGCTCCCTTACCAGGTGAGCGGTCCTTTGGTCCTTCCATCCGACTGGCCCCTGAGTTCCTTACATTTTCGCAAAGCACTTCACCAAAGATCACTTCATCGGTGCGCTATGTGTGAGAATGCTTGAAATTAGGACCAAATCGTATATGCTCATGTCAACGAAGGTGTCCAATCTTGTGACTCAATGCCATGTTTAACTCGTGACGAATGGCGACACTATGCTTACTCAGCGAACGCGAACGAAGTTGGATAGCGAAGTATGAGCGCAGTCTGAGCGAGCGTGGAACCGCATTATTCGTAGTGCAGATCGCTGGCAACACCACTCGCCATAGAGAAATCAATCTCCTCTTAATGACCAGTGCAGGGCAGCGACACGCTCGTCTGCCCGTCCTGATGCGAGGTTTTCGTCTCGTGGTCGTGGTGATATATATTCACCACGACGCTTTCGTTAGCGACATCATTCTCGTTCTCGACGGCGTGATTCGCCCCACCGTTCTCGCTCTTCGTGAGAACATTTATTTTTTCTCGCATCGATGTAGCCCGACTTCGTGGTCGTGTATAAATGAACAACATATGGAATCGCGAAGAAGAGAGAAACGTGGTTCCCATGTGTCCTGATTGAGTGTAAATCCAGCCCAGCGTACACAGTACCTGAGCGCGGATTGAACCGCGCGCTTCTCATGATATAACTGTAGCACTGCTCGGGGAGGGTCCTCGTGACCCACAATGCGATCTACAATCCAGCGTACCTGTCCTTCCGCATCCACAAGCGGTGGCGGGCCCTCGTGATGTAAATGCTGGCGTTCTGGTTGGTTAGGAAGATGTTGGTCAGGCTGTAAACAAGACTGCCGATGCTCATCTGGAAGATGAGGCTTCTCTTGAGCTGATGCACAGGCGAAGAAGACCGCGAATGAGATCCGGCAGTCGAATCGTGAACTGCTAGAACGGAAGAGGCTTTGGAACTCCAGGTCCTTAGTCATGCACAGACGGTAACGCAACCGCGCCCTATGTCATCGGCGCGTTGAGCACGACGGGAAGGCCGACCGACCTGCCTATAAATAGGCGTATTTATAACGCATTGAGGCGAACGTTTGTCACGTCGGTACTTGCTGTCGAGCCCACATGCTACTCAAGCGTCGCACATAGTGTGCCCAACGGCTAAAAGCCTTATCCTCTTACTCCTCGGTTTCTCCCGCGAATAAAAGGATGGAAACGCTCTTTATGGAAGGGAATGGTGCACCACGTGCTTGCCTAATGAGGCATTCCAAGTATTGGCTTTGCGTGGTGGTGTGGAGTTCCAGAATTGTTGTCGAAGAGCCGTTCACGTAGCGACATCCTCAGGCAAAGTGGACTCGAGATCAATAGCCCAGCCTGATAGGAGCTGACCAGCCCCCTCCTTGAGTCGCTCTTCTACAGATAGTGGCTAGAAGCCATACCGTTATTGGCCTTGGATTCTAGCCATATTCTAAGACCGTCGTTTTGCGCCCTCTTCTTGTTTAACGGTCCGTTGTTGTTTCTCGTCTAGTGACAGTCACCTTTGACGATACGTCAGACGGGACGCGTAACGCTGGTGGGGCATCCGCAGTACCACGTTCAGGATACGGATTCGGCGCATGACTAGGATCATCTTCACGCTCAAGTATGTCGAAGGAGATCTCGATGAAGCGGATAATTACGGTAGTGACACCGTCTTTTTGGGATCTGATGAGCGTGGGCAAGGAAGTCTCATCTAAGGATAGGACCGATATGTAGAGGGTCCACCTAGAGGGGGGTCCACAGGTCCACCCAGAGGGGGGTCCACAGGTCCACCCAGAGGAGGGTCCACCGGTCCACCCAGAGGAGGGTACACCGGTCCACTCAGAGGGGAGTCCACCGGTCATCAAGGCTGAAGTAGATACTTCCGATGACCAAATCTGTGTTCATGAGAGTGGAGATTTATGTGCCGAGGATATCGACAAAAATTGGTCTGTTATCCCTGAGGTCACCCCATCTACAAACGAAGTTATGTTGGAAGACATCCAGATCCCCGACCCCGGTGATACCCCAAAGGAGGAGGTAGACCGCCTCCGCCAGATTATATGGAGAAAACGACATTTGCTGATGGGAAAAGGTAGCGCATTACCCCCGGCGGCTCGAGGAGCAGTGTGCGACATTGATGTTGGGAACGCACGGCCAATCGCACAACGGGTACGGAATGTGGCCCTTCAATTTAGGGAGAAGCTGGCAGACCTGATAAAAGGCCTCTTGTCCTCCAAGATAATCCAGCATTTCACCTCCTCATGGGCCAGTCCAATTGTAATTATTGTCAAGAAGAATGGGGTGGATATAAGGCTGTGCATTGACTACCGGATGGTGAATGACTTAACGCGGCTTATGGTGTACCCTATGCCTCTCGTGAATGAGCTGCTGGAAGACCTAGATAAGGCCTTGTGGTACTGCTTACTGGATATGGCTAGCGGT